ACGTTCATTTCTCCCTCCTTCATATTCCTAATATTCTTCTATGACGCAAAAATGATTAACTTACTCCTAAATATACTCCCTCCTCCTCTTCAATTTCTTCAGCTTCATCGTCAGACATTTGAACTCCAGTGTGTTGATATTCAAATGTCTACTACGAGTTCACTATGACGACAGAGTTGTCTGATGACATAAAAGAAATATGATTAAATGATTTCAATAAGACAATGTTCAACCTTTTCTTATCCAGAACATTTACCTCTTGTTTGACAAAACATATTATAAGCTTGAACATCATAAATTCATATAATACTATTTAATTTCGTTGGTTTGTTGTTTCGTTGAATAAGTTGGATGATCATTTTGCAGATTTTTCGGTGAAAACCATAACTCCCTGAGGCATTCGAAAATAATGGGATAGCATATACTCATGAATTACAGGACAGTAATGCGTCATACATAAAAAGTTACGGTATGTGCAATGGTAGAACATTTATGTTGCAAGACCAAAGTAAAACTCACTGAAGCGAAGGTAGTTTAAGAAAGGAAGAACAGATTATTGTAGTTTATTATTCAAACGGAAAGTTAAAATCAGAAAATGTATAGAGCATGTAAGTTAAGTGCTAGTAAACGCATATACCACTCACATTTTGTGTTTTTATTTTCCTAAAATATACATAATATGAAAGAAGTTATAATAAACAACATTTCGCGTTACAGATCACCATAGAATCCAAGTTGTTAAAAAGGACTAAACCGCGCAAAGAATGAAAGCAAAAAATTTGAAGGAGAACAAACTCTTTTACATATACATTACTGTTATTCCAGGATGTGTTGAGTTTTCGCGATGTCTGTAATCCTGGAATCTCCTCTTTGTTGAGTTTTGTTTCGTTTCGTTCTGTGATTTCCAGGGTCATTTTTATAATGGATGTTTTACCGGTAGGTCGATAGATCAGTTTGCAGTTTTCAGCCATTCAATATTTGAGCAATCCTCATTCCTGATTTTCCCTACGGTATATTACTTGAATTCGAAGCACATAACGCTTCGGAATATTTGATGTCACAGCGAGCAGTTAGCGTAGTGAATCCTAGCATTTAAAGACGTATGTGTTATACACGAAGTCTTTTTGAAAGAAAGCCTCGGGTGATTGAAGTCCAGTAGGAGCCATACATTACTCAACTCATAGCTTACAGTGAGGTTTAAAGCTGAATCCAGTAATGAATGTGCGTGATCCCAAGGTTCTCCTGGAAGTAAAACAGCTATATTTTAAGTTCGAATTCTTCCTTTGGTCCGTTCTTGAAGCACGGTCGATTGATAAAATCGTAACTCATGATCCCATATACAAAATTCAGTGGTAATAATCAATCAGTAATACTCTAAGCTATGGATTTTTGGTAAGTTAAGTAGAAATGGCTCGATCAATATTGACACGTTTGGGAATGTAAATGAGGCCCTCAACTGCTGATACAATCGTCCTACTGTATCATTGGCTCGTGGGTATCAGTCAGTAATTTGAAACTCAGTTTATCACGAGAATTCCGTAAAAATGGGTGAGTAGTCAAGATTCGAATTTTTGTTATGGAACAATCTTCAGGACAACTAGAGTTTGACATCTACTATTCAGCGAAGGCATGATCCACAGTTTTAGCTGTAGTGCAGTGTTAGATTCGTCTATGACGATGCTTTCTATTTATTTGAACCCATGAATATTGACGAAAATGGACGCCATAAAATATTTCATATGACAAGAAAGTGATAAATGGAGGAGGAGAGTATAAATAAATAAAATATGAGTGTGCGAGTGTAGTTTTAAATGGAAGTAGCAGTTCCATCGGGAATAATTGGAATTTAACTCATTTTTAAAAGAAATGGCAACGAGATTATCTCTCTTAGTTTCTGTTTTGAACCATGCCTCACAATTATTGAATGCTGAAGTCATTGTGTGATAGTATTTTCTTGCGAGCATTTGCATTACGCATAACGATTTTGTACGTCCTACCATTCTCGTGTTCTTGATAATTAATCATGGATCTCTCACATGGTTCTTTCCACTTACAGGGTATTTATCTCGATTTAGTTCTTAATTTTTCTGTCGTATTCAGGATTCCACTTTTAGTTATTGAATGACTTTAGTCATAAAGGTTAATAGTATAACTATAAAATATTTACTTATTGTCTTGCGTTCTGCCCTGGTTATCATGCAAGCGAGAGTGAGATATTCTATTGGTGTCCAACAGTCGGTAACTGATATGCCTTGATGTTATATTGATGTCTATATGGTTTAGGAGAACTGATCAATATTGTAACTATATCGATGCAACTGCTCTATGAAAATGATATCCGATCAAGTGAGCTTCGAAGATAATCTCAAAATTTACTTTTTTACCTACACATTACTCTTACATTACTGTAGGATGTCGTGAAGGACAGATAGATGTCAGTCCTGAAATCTAAGTTTCACAGTCAGATTAGTACCACTAAGACAACGACTATTGTGTAACTTGAATGCAATCGCAAGCTGTGGATATATTATTCACTTTTACATATTCGAAGAACTTTTCTACATGTAACAGACCTGCACAACCACTACCTACTTCCAGCACAAATATTTCCGGATTAATACAAATTGTATAGTTGGAGAGGTACTATGTGCAGAGTCAACCCCGCCACATTCAACAACTACAACGGAACAACAGAAAGAGACGGGTTTATACACACGTTCAGTCAGCGCTGTTTGTATACAGAGATTGCACCAAACTAGCAAAATGCCCAGGCACACCCTACTTCAAAAGAGAACTGCAGATAAGAGTTTTCAAATAATTGAAGGCCAATATATGAAGAATGCAAACTAGTTTGTGGCCTCTTATAAATATGATGGTGTTCTGACATTTGTCGCTAATGGGATAGGACCAACACATTGTTGAGCAACGGGAATAAAAAATTATCAACAGCGAGTCTTCCTCGTGCTTTGACTGATCGACAGAGTATGACGCAAGCCAGTTGTGTGAAACAAATACTATGTGTATGCATTCCTTGACAGTTAATACGTAGATAACAAAATCTATTTTTTATAAATAGGATGTTGAAACAGTTTTATCTCTTCACTTTCCAATTACCTGGAAAAGACCTGCAACCCATGCATGCCCTCTACTTTGCATAGACGAACAAACAAACACTACGCCATTGATCTTTCAGCATTTTAGTTGGGCATAACCAATAATTAGGAGTTAATCCATGATTCAATCTATTTCATTGATTATAAACTGAGTTCTGCATTTTAATAGTTTATGATCTTTCGTTTGGTAACAGTATGAGGTTGCAGAAATTATTGTTTCATTGAAACCATGAATCAGACAATGTTAGACCACCTGTGAATGTCCGGCCGTTTCGTCTTAGCATAAGACTACTCGAAAGTGATTATCAACGACTACACATGCGGGAATCAAAGCAAGGAGTCATGGTATAGCACGCAAAGACTCAAACTCCCATTAACGTAGCATCCAGCGGTGTTCGTGTCTAGCTTGAACAAGTCCACGATATTGTGAGACCATCTTCCATTGTCTCCGGTAGATACCTATCTCACAATAGAACTCAGGCTCAGTGGTTCAGAGGTTAGGCGTTCGCGCTAAACCACTGGCCCTAGCACCTGAGCTACAAATCTTCTCCACCATCACTGGCCCTAGGTTAGAGTAACGCGTTAAGTGTTGAGGTTACGCATTACTGAGAAGCCCGACGGTAGGACGAAATGTCCGTCTACCGCTTCCAGATTTTCAATGTTTGTCTAACATCGATCTCAGTAAAATTATGAAAATCTCATGGTGATAAAATAAAATTATGAACCAAGTGTTCAATCAAAACGCTAGGCAGAGACTGAACTACGTTTTGCGAAATATGGGACATATAATCAATAAATTGATAGGCACTTCACACACGATGGGTCCGAAGTAGAGATCAGTAGCGGGTTGTTGACACTAAATCCTCAGCAAGCTAATTGTCTAGTCATGTCTTTTATAAGCCACACATAAATACTCATATTCAGTTTATGAATCATCAACTAGAAAGAAGTACATCTCGCACAATAAGGGACGATAAATCGAGGCGTTGTTTAGAGTGGATGTTACGTCATCTCATCAGATGTGACTGTTTGTTCATGTACACCAAAGGCAAGCGACAGGTGAGTGAATAGAAGCATTTACAAACAACTGTTCGGAAAGTGCTGAAGCGTAATGTGGCATATTAGGAACGAGATCAGGAGAAAACGAAGGAAGTTGACAACTATGTCAAACCATTTCGAATGTTTATCCTCATTGCATTTAAACTCCGCCATGGCTAGCAGAACAAGAGACTACATAAAACGTAACTTCCCTACTCAAGCCCTCCCAAGAGATAGACACATGTCTCGCCCGAAAGAAATACTGCTCGTCAACTAGCTGTCAGTATCATCCAGCCACTGGACGACAATACAACACAGTGAGATAGAATAAACTACAGTCGGCCTAGTCCTTATCCCCCAACTGAGACTGCCCAATTGACAATATTAAGAATCATGTTCGACACTAACACAGTAAAGCTTCAGCAAGTTCAACTTTGTAGAGGAAAACAACTATAAGAACAACTTAAAACTGACAGTGAATCTAGAGATTTATCAAATGATACTTTGATCAGCTCCATCCAGACTTCCACTAGTTATGCAGAATAAGTCTATGAAACTAACCTATAACAAGAGGAAAAGCAGCCGACTAATACAAAAGCAGTAAATTCATCATTTTAATACAAATCAAATTCTGTTACAAATTGTTGGTTCGCATAAACGGACTGACACAGAAAGACAAGACTGAACAGTAGATACTGATGGCAATGAAGTAGTAAGTCAACAGTTTATGTAGATACACATGCACGCATTAAATTAATCATAAAATCAAAAAAACAAACAAAGCAAAAATCATGTAAAAAATAATTAGAATGAAGATATTCAGTTCAATCCAATTGGTCATAATTAGCATTAAGTCATTGTACCAAACACAGGATTATGACGGCATATTGCTGGACCGATTTCTTCATATTGAGCTTTAGTATGGCATACATTGTAAAATTCACTCTGAGTGAAAGAAAATTCAAGTGAAGATAAACATATAGGAAATCAATTGTGAAAACTTACAGGAACATGTAAATTTCTATACAGCATCACTGGGTGGTGATCAATGTCATGCGTGTCAAGTTCTTCCTAGTGCTGATCAAATGCTATTGATCAAGTTGCAAAGTGGCCACTAGTCTAGGTGGCTCGACACTGCGTGCACTATGTTGAGATAAGATGATGGTTGGAGGTGGTCAACAGGAAACCCTGAAACCCGGTTTCGTGCTACTTGGCACTCGACAGCAAGGTGTACCTGTAATCTTGAGGGAATTTGTGCTCCCTGACGGATTCGGTCCCGTGTCACTCAGCTTCACAGTCAGAGACGTTACCACTGAGCTACTTAGGCCGCGATCCACCTACTGTAGGACTGAGATGTAATCATAATTGATTGATCACTGGATGGTGATCAATGTCATGCGTGTCAAGTAAATTCATACAATTAGATTCCTCCTCGCTATTATCTGACGAAATGTCATTAGGGATCCAAAAAACTCAGTGAGCCTTTACATCCCTTGTGACAGAGAAGATATATCTATCTACTGAATAAAGGAAGAATTTACTACGAGACAGTTCAGTTGGTTTTACTTTATAGGTGTAAAATATGGCCATTAGGAAAAGGTGTTCGTAGGTCACTAACATTTGAACACAGGTGTCTTTAAAGCGTTGTTCGTGTAATTTGCGACTACTGAGTGAGCAATTCCAAGGTCAGGTATATATATATATACTAGGTTCCAGGTCCTCTTTTGATATTACGAAGAACAATTCAGAGAGAAAAGAATGGCAACTCATGACCTGACCACTGTACGAGAATCATTTAGTTAAACAAATGAAAAATGGTATCAAACAATCACTCTATCCTATTGACTCCAACCAACTAAAGCTGGGAATAATACTATATAATGTCAACTTATTTGACTTAGTAGTTACCATCAGAAAATCAATTGGTAAAATGAGATATCTGCTCTAACTACGTGATACAATCTTAGTACGACTTATTTTGAATAGAAATCTGATCACAGATATACGTGTTAAGACATTTGTATACGAAGATTGGAAAGTCAAGTTAGAAAAATTGACGGGCGGGGTCGAGAAACATGGATAATAAGAAAAACAATGTAGATCATACCACATTGGATATTAAATCGTTCGATACCCAGGAAGCCTACGTACACAGCGTAATACTTTAGATTTCATAGTCACTGTCTAGTCAATTATAAACTAGGGATAATAGAAAAATTTATTTATGGATAGACTTTGTCTCCTTGTTGTATTATTTAAACTTATCACACGGACTAATTGTCTTAAACTTTGATATACTCAATATGAAATACAATGGAAGACTAATTATTATCTAATCACTAATTATACTACATTTAGAATGGAAGGTAGTTGAAGCTGATCAGTTACATGCTAGTTAAGCTATTCACTATCAACAAGGGGTATTTGGAATCTTGATAGAATTGATGTCCACGAGGAATTCCAGCCCATGTCACCTAAAGTTGTAGTTAGATGAGTTACTACCGACCTACTCAAGCTACAACTAGATCATTTACATAACTGCGATATTAATTGGTTGGTCATTGACATATTTGTGGATTAAATTCTTCAAAAACACATTGTTTTCAACTGTAGCATTTAATGTTCCAAACACCATGGAAGCGTTTATAGTTTCTAGGTGCATATCAGTCAAACGACTTCAAATATTGAAAAGAAAATGAATTAAACACAAAATCTAAAACTCGATAATATATCTACCTCATTAGCAAGTACTGATCCACCAAACCAGACAGCATAACGTTGCATAGGATGTGAAACTACTTTAACATCAATAGATTTAGGCTAGAAAATGATGAACAAAGAGTAAGTAAGCAATATAACATTGTCAGTTAAGCTATCTTATATGATAAATACAAACAAGAAATACATTGGGAAACTAATATTCTGAACTATAACAAAATACTACTTGTTTACTGAATTGACATTACACAAAAATGTGGATATGATGAAAACATTATTGATTATGAGCAGAGATGGATAGTGGCTAGTAGTGGAATCCAGGACGCGCGTTTCTTCCTATTTAGGACTCGTCAGCTGGATGTACCTGCATCTCAGAGTTGATGTTCACTCTGGGACTCCAACCCAGTACCCTCGCTTCAAACGCCATCGCGTTATCCACTCGGACACTGAGTCCTGATAGCCACTTGCTTGTGCGATGGAGTGAAGTTTAAATTCATTTAGTGTTGTTTGTTTGAATCTTCCCATCGATTTGTTAGGACTGCAACTGGTCAGTCTCTAATTGGTATATATGCATACTGTGCGGTATTGTGCAGGCACATCCAGCTGACGAGTCCCAAATAGGACGAAACGCGCGTCCTGGATTTCACTGCTAGCCACTATCCATCTCTGCTTACCGTGCTTGTGAATTAAGGCTATATCGAGGCAATACACACAGTATGCACATATGCCAATTAGAGACTGACCAGTTGCAGTCCTAACACATCGATGGGAAGATTCAAACAAACAACACTAAATGAATTCATTATTGATTATTATTATTTATTTAAACACATAAATATTGGTACAAAGGGGCACCATACACATACGCACCACACAAATCCCACTTGATTTATGTGAGGGCTGTGATACTACCTGGGTGCCCAGACCGAAGCAGGTGGTTTTCTTAGGGGGCCACACCCGGAGACTTTGACCTAAAAGTCTGACCTACAAGGCAGTGGAGCATCGTAAAGAGATGCAGTCCCGTGGTAGCCGGTGACCAACTATTGATTCGTACGCTATTTTCCCCTCAGGATACTGGAGCCCATGTGAACCATTGGTTTGGAATTAGGGTTTTCCAACTACCCTAGGAGGACGCGCCGTGTCCACCTACCTGGTTATAGCGCCGGACATTCGCTTTTTGTCCTCTCAATTTCGTAAACAACACTCGTGGTGCGAGAAGGCAGTGAGTAGGACTTCCCTGGCAGAGGCTATATACTCGTGGACATGTGAGAGCATATGGAGAGGGAGAGCGGACTCTCCCCACTCTCAGCCGTACCAGGGCACATAACGCATAACATTGAAACAGATATGAGTATTGAATGATTTGTTTTATTCTACCCTGCAACTCCTCGAAATTCTATGCAGTATCGATCCCACACCATCAAGGATTCAGTTCATAATTTGCAAGCAGCGTGATAACTTTGGACAAATGAGTTGAGATTCTATTTTTCACAGTTTAAACTTCTGTTCGTTTTCCCTAAAGCACAGTCTACCACATCATGTCATAGATTTCAATAGGACTGATGCTATAAGGTCAGGGTTATTAATTAGAAGTTCATGGAAATCGTCAGGAATCTAGTCAATCAATAAACCCACCACCATTATATAGAAAGATGCTCAAAAAAACCTAGTTGGACAATCAATTAAAAGCGATTATGTCAAAACGAATTTATAGGAAACATGTAAAATAATTTTATGTTTTAATTGGTTGGAAATGATGGTGTTCAGAATGACAATGAAAGCATTGATAATTAAGCAATCCACTATAGATAACATAAAACCCCTAAATACTCTGATACAGCCGAGAGTGGAGAGAGTCAGCTCTCTCTCTCTCTCTTGAAAGTCCATACAACCACTGCCAGAGGAGTCCTACTCACTTTCTTCTCGAAAAGGAGGGTGTTTTTTTAGGAAATTGAGAGGACAAAAAGAGAATATCCGGTGTTTTGCCGAGTTGGTGGACACAAAGGGTTCACCTAGGGGAATTGGAAAACCCTGATTACAAACCAATGGTGTACATGGGCTTCGGAATCCTAAGGAAACAAATGGTGTATGAACTCATTATTAGTCACCGGCTAATATGGGACTGCATCTCCACTACCTTGTGGATTAGACTTCTGGGTCAAAGGCTTCAGCTTGAGCACCCAGTCAGTATCGAATAATTTCATATGGAGCATATCTATTCCTTGCCTCTTTGTACCAATTTTTACGTGTTTAAATAAATAAAACATAAAAACTTCTATAGAATTAAACAGTAAACCTTGTGCTCAACCTAAATGTTATACTAATTGACACTTGTGAACAAGGCATTGTTACAATCCTTAAGGAACTGGTGATTTCAGTCGGATTTAAACTAGTTGCATAGTTTGTGATGTTGATATTGATTTACTGAAGTTGTGACTAACATTCATAGAAATGACTGGTTAGTCTTTGAGTAATAGTTAATCTTATACTTTTCTTCTTTTTTTTAATAAAGATCAAATGCTATCGATCAAACTAAGTTATACAGAAATATCCACATTGAGATCAATCGAAATTGGCTTCAAAGAAAAATAGTTTCTAAACATGAACAGATCATTGATATAATGTTATGAATTTCCTTTCATCTCTATCACAATAATTGCCCACAAATGCCCTGGTACGGTCGAGAGTGAGGAAAGTCCGCTATCCCTCTCAAAATGCTCTCACATGGCTACGCGAATATATAGCCTCTGTCAGGGAAATCCTGCTCACTGCCTTCTCGTGGCATTACTGTTGTTTACGAAATTGAGAGGACGAAAAGCGAATCCGGCGCTCTAACCGGGTTGACGGACACAGAAAGTCGATCTAGGGGAGTTGGAAAACCCTGATTACAAACCAATGGTGCACATGGGCTCCAGTATCCTAAAGGAACAAATGGCGTATGAATCAATCGTTGGTCACCTACTAGCATTGGACTGCATCTCCTCATGATGATCCACTGCCTTGTGAATCAGATCTTTTGGTCAAAGGCTCCCAAGAAAATCACCTACTTCAGTTTGGGCACCTGGGCATTATCACAGCCCACACATAAATCAAATGAGATTTGTGTATGTATCTCGTGCCCTTTTGTAGCAATATGTACGTGTTTAAATAAATAAATTGTTCCTAATGGTATAACAAGAAAACATTTAAAAAAAATTAAACATATAAACATGAATACCCCTATTACCTTGACTCGTCCACCAGTAAGTTCTTCAGTTAATTTTAAACGATTATCAACATTACGTTTAATATCACGTTGTAAACGACGATCAAGATGTTTGAACATTGAACTACCACCTGATAATACAATATTCTGATATTGAATAAAAAACAGAAAAAGTTAGAATATATCTCTATGGGAAATATTTGATATTAGCTGAATTTGATTAGTGGTAAGTGAAATAAAGGTGTGTGTGTGTGTGAAACAGACAAATAACAGTTATCTACCAGTTTAATTACTCTTGTGGAGCTTGTTATACCAATCGCATAAAAAGTGCTCTTTTTTGAAACACATATTTAAGAACTATCTAGTATGGTTGATAAGCCTTGCTAATTGAATACTATACTCGGATCCTAAGCTAGTTTTTTAACCCCCTAAGCTAGAACTACACAGCGACTTGAACACGAGAAAAAAGGCAAAAAAATATGCGGGAAGCACTTTACTTCAAAGGCTCTCATTCATGTACAGAAAATATAGGGTGTTTTTTTAGTATTTAAGATGTTTTTGTGTTGGTAGGTGCAAACCACTTGGTTGGTACAAGTGATTTGAGAAACTTCTATTCAACGCTGATTGTATAAAATATTTCCCAGAGTTTTCTGGGCCCCTATGTACTTTTCCGAGTATTTTGAAATTCCCCAACAGTTTTAAGTATTACACTCTGTATTTATATGTGAATAAAATGGATATCGACTAAACTCAGCATATGTGATGGTGTCTATCTCAATAATAAAAAAACGAGCGTGCCCTAACAGTAAATATGAAATGACCCTACTAATCAGTCAATTTAAACATCGAAAATTATAGATTCGAATAGAGGACTAAACATAAATATTACGAATTAGATACTTTTTAATTTTATACGTTGTCGGTAGTATCGGTTGTTAATGTTAAGCCCGTATACTTTATTCCAGCTTCTAGACAAGCCAATTTACCTATCCATCTTGAGTCACGTTTTGACCCTGTCAATTATTCACTTATTAACCCTGACTATTTTTATATGACCGTTTGCGTTTACGCTTCTTTTCCAATTCACCACATATCTTATCTGACCATAAATATCGATTAACGCTTGATTAAAGCGAGTTGGCTTACCCGCCATCTCCAATGTGTGTCATTTATGCTTCGCTCGCTGATATTTGCTCATATGCTTATAACTTTTTGGGCTGCGTTATTTTTCAATAAAACTGTAGTTGCCGCTTCTCTTTGCCTTCTGATTTTATGCACCGTCAAGATTTGTATTATAACGGTTATCGAGGTGAATGATTAACGAAGCATGGCATTACAAGCAAGTTCTAGACATTGAATTTCAAACTCAATGGTGGCATATGAAGAAATCATAATCACACAACCACACATGATCTACAGGTCTTGACTACAATTGTGTATGATCACTCGCAGACGTAATTCGTTTACTGAATATTCTGGTGATTTCTTTTAGTCAGCACTTTTCTCTTAGAAAGCTTCTTTTTTACGAAATGGGGTTCATAACCCCATCCTCAACCCTCCTCATTTTATTTGGGCTTAGGACTAACAGATAATCTAAAATAGCTTCACGTGGGGCTTCTCATATGTATATATCCCAGAGAACAGTCCTGTCAAACGAATCAAAGGCAGCTCTGATATCAAGAAACACTACGATTGTTGGCCTGCGATAAGTATAACGGTGTTCTAACATTTGGCGGAGGGTGATAATATGATCAATGCATCCTCGACCAGAACGAAAACCAGCCTGCTCCTCGCGAGTCAATCGTTCTCGGGTTTTAAACAATCTGTGATGAATGACAGAAGCCAATAGTTTGGACGCAATCAGAAGTAGACTTATCTCCCGATAGTTATTACAGGAACAACGTGAACCCTTTTTAAAGATAGGGACGACTATCGACTAATTCCATGATGTTAGAACACTTTCTTGCTCCCAAACCTTTGCAAACAACACAGTCAATTCCTTAGTCAGAAAGTCACCACCATCTTTAAAAAGAGCCGGAGGTAAGTCATCTGAGCCCGGTAATTTGTAACGTTTCAAGAGTTGGAGTTCCTTGCGGACTTCCGCCTCGTTTGGTGCATCCGTCGACACCGGCCATGGGGGGCAGGACAAACTGGTTAGAGATCTTGAATGACATGGATGAAAATCGTTTGCAATGGCGAAGGTGAATCCACTCTTTGTGTTCTACCAAATTCTAATCTTCTGAATTCCTCATGTCTCTATCTTTTTTTTTCCAAATTTATTTCATTGGATTATACTCTTTGAATAACATCTTTAAACACTAATCTTTCACATAATGCCTATACTCTTACTACTTCTACCACTATGGGATTTGAATCGACAACTGCATCTCTGTATTAATGTGGTATGGCAACTCGAACTGATGTACGTACGTACGAAGTTCTACATTGTGACTGACTGACTTCTACTATGACTATTACAACTACTACTGATAAACTTGAGAAAGCAATTAACTTTCATGTAATAAAATTTATATAATATTGATTAAAACTATTCATCTTAAAAATAGAAATTTGTCAAATGTTCTCTATGCTCTCTATTACTCAAAAATGAGTAAGTGTGCCGATAAGTGAGCGCATATCATTTTGTAACGCAAACACATGAGTATATATATATACACACACACAAACACACTGAGAATGAATTCCTTTCAGCTAATACAATAGAAATATTATTCAATGAATATAAGAAACAAACTAATCTATTAACGTTGTTTTGTTCTATGTATTGAATTCTTTTAAGCGAAGCAGTGGTTTAGGGTTGATAGTGTTTGATTTTCAGATAGTAATTCCCGAGTTCGAACTATTATCTACGTATCTCAATCGGGTCAACTAGTTACTATCTTTGGTCTTCACATTTAGAATGTGGCTCATATCAGAGAACTTGATATTGGGTTCTGTTATGACGTGTAAGTTGACCGCTTTATTCGGATCCTAGCTATTCGGATAACCCCAGGCTAGCACTACTCAGCGACTTGAAAGACCAGAGAGAAGACACGAGTATCAGAGAAGCACTTTACTACAAGGTTCACTATGTACAGAAAGAACAGGGGTTTTATAGTAATTAAAAGACATTGAGATTCCATAGTAGCAGTATGTTTAACAGCCAATCAGGACCTCATTATTTTAGTAGCATAGCTTCTAACTAATCGCTGATTGGTTGAGCTCTTTATGAGCCTCTCTGGAGGCTCTGATAGAGTTTATTGTAAGCCGACTCAACAGGTTCATTAAGTCAAATTAACATTAAATTGGTAAATCAGTGACAAGACAAAACCGCCTGGGGCCTTTCTAACGTTATTACCGGCCCTAAGCGTGGACAAAGGGGGAGGGTTGGGCACTAGGTTAGCAACTCCATTCTGTAGAAAACAACCTTGCTAAAACGATACTAACCAGAAAATATCATTTAAGCCATTTAAACTCTTCCCTAGAAATTGAAAGATTTTCATTTAGAATGATGAGTCATGAAATTTCATGGTGAAAGCCAAGATTCTTCGGAAGTTACGAGACCGATGCTCTTTCTGAAAATCAGAGCAACAATTATAAAAGGTGCATGGAACGTCCGGACGATGTAGGAGGCCGAGAGGACCATTCAAGAAGCTTCCGAACTGAAAAGTAATTGCGAGATCTTTGATTATGATATTATGTTGAATACAGCAGGTTCGAATCCCATAGATAGGATCAATTTTTTAATGCTACAAATAAATACTCCTTGTTGCGAAAAATGATAAACAATAAGAAATGTAAGTCGAATAGGACTTTCGAGACAACAGATAGACTAAATACAGTAAATACTTATTATCAACTTACACCATAAAGTCCACGACGTGAATCAATTGGTGATTTTTGAATTACTTCATCGACAACATCACTTAATGAAGTTGTAAAGTCTGGATTAACAAACTACAAAACAAAATAAATAACAAATATAATGATCTAAATTCAACAAAGTTGACAAAACTAACTATTGGGTCTGCAACATAATCAATATAATGCAAACATATTTATGTATAAATCTACCGTCTAACACTTAGTAGTTAACCTAATATCATTATGAGTACAAGTTTGAATCATTCCGCAGTGAATACTTAAGATCGAATTTGTTGTCCAGAAAAGAGAGGATTAGTTTTATTAAGATTACAGAAACATCATATCTGTTGTTGAATAAGTTAATAGTTACTTGAACTGAGTAGTTCAGTAAACAATCCATTGTGTTTGAGGTAAAAAGTAAATCGTTTGGATTTCTCTCATTTTCTGATTAATGCCTCTAGCTCAGAGAAATTCTGAATGAGGTGACAAGCATTAGCATTATCACGTTATTGAATCAAATCATTAGTATGATTGGTTCAAGCATAGTAGGCTCAAACTTATACTATGGTATATATAACTTATGTCAGCCCCCAAATGCTCTGGTACGGTCGAGAGTGGGGAGAGTTAGCTCTCACTCTTGAAATGCTCTCATATGGTCACGCGTATAAAGCCTCTATCAGGGAAGTCCTACTCACTGCCTTCTCGTGACATTATTGTTGTTTACGAAATCGAGAGGATGAAAAGAGAATGTCCGGTGCTTTAACCGGGTTGTTGGACACGGCGCGTTCACCTAGGGGAGTTGGAAAACCCTCATTCCAAACCAATTGGTGCACATGGGATCCAGCATCCTGAGTGAACAAACGGCGTATGAATCAATCGTTGGTCACCGGATACCATGGGACTGCATCTCCTTACGATGCTCCACTGCCTTGTGGATCAGACCTTTAGGTCAAAGGCTCCGAGTGTGGTCCCCTAAGAAAACCACGTGCTTCAGTTTGGGCACCTGAGCAGTATCACAGCCCCCACACAAATCAAATAAGATTTGTGCGGCGCATCTATATCTGGTACCCATTTGTACCAATATTTATGTGTTTAAATAAATAAATAACTTATGTCTATCAACATAAGTGGTATGTAACACCAATCAGAACAAGGGAATGCCTGGGTAGCAGAAGTTTGAGAAGACCCAATTGAATAGAACCGGAATGGTTCACTATGATACCAGGATATTAAGTGAAAACAACAAATCATTGATCCAAAAACTAATCATCTTAATACACACATATGTCCTGAAATATCAATACCTAATCTGTTTGTAACTAATGCTAAGAGGTCACATTTCATTAAAGATTTTCGTATAGCAACTAACTAAAAAACAACCAATTTTTGGAAAACTTTTTTAATTTAATTAGAAAAATTCAAAAAAAAATTCAACATACTTCAGGTTGAAAAAATATTTCTGGACCTAAAAATCGTTCATAACCGACATCAACAGAAAATGATGGATATTTAGCCGATTTTGATACAACATGGGGTTTAATCCATTTCTCTGGTTCACTATCATATTTAGCAAATTCTTTAGGTAAATCAGGACAAACATATGAATAACTAAAAATAGATAAATAATGAATATAGATCAGAAGGGGGATTTTGTGGAGATTTCAGTATTTTCATAGTTGAAATCATGAGTCAAATCGGTTAAGTGCTCTGGCACGAGACTGGTAGGTCCTGGGTTCGAATCTCGCAAGTGCGGGATCGTGGATACGCACTGCCATTGAGGAGTCCCGTAATAGGATGAAACGGCCGTCCAGTGCTTTCAGGTTTTCCATGGTGGTCTAGCTTTAATTGACTAATGATTTCAACTATGAAAATGATGAATAGATTTTGGAATAAGAATTAATCATACTACTTAAATCAAGTAAAAACTAAATGTCCGGATTGATAGATACGAAGGGTTTATGTAGAGAGATTGGAAAACTCTAATTTCAAAGCAAACGATATACATGAACTCCAGGATTTGAAGGAGATGAATGGTATATGTAACTAATTTGGTCAATGGTTATTGTTGACTAGGCCTTCTAACTTCGCTTTATGGATCAAACCTCAAGTTTAAAAACTTAAGAGTGGCACCCAATGAAAACTATCCTTTGTCTAGACAAGTGAGAAGTATCTCATCCCATCCACAAATACGATAGTCGACAATTTCTTTTCTTTATTTGCATGACATACATTATCAGTGCTCAGTTGTAGCACATTTTATGAGCATTCAATAAATAAACGAATTGGAAATCTAAGATCACTGGTGATTAAAACAAAGCAAAAAAAATACTCAGCATGAGGTTGTGGAGACTGCTTAATTTTATCGAGATCCCGAACCAATCAAACTTGGAGGTCAATTGAAAACCTAGGAGCATTGGACAGATATTTTGTCCTAGTATAGAACTCCTCAGTGGTGCTTATTTATTACCCAGTATCCGGGAATCGAACTCAGGACCTTCGATTTCACGCCCAAACGACTAACCTCTAGAATATTGAGACGGTATGCAGTGGTGTAGAGGTCTAGCTTCAATCAACAGTAATATTGCGCGACCACTCTCCATTGCTTTTGTTGATTACCTCTCCTCAAACTCGACATAGTTTAACCCTGCTGGACACAGCTTATCCCTACGACTCTGGGAATTAACTCTAAAAGTTGATCAACAACAAGTATACGACAATATTTTAGTACAGCAAGTTGTAGAGATTATTTAGTGCTACAATTTTATGCTATTAAATGACTTTAGGCAGATAGCTGTCAAAAAAAATTGAAACTAACCGTTCTTTAATTTGTTTAGCAACTTCCATACTCAGTTCTGGTGGGATATTATTTTCACGTTCTCTAAGCAAGTGTTGAATGAAAGAAGTAATGTCACGTCCAGCTATTGGTATATGTTTAATACAAGATCCAATGACATAACCGTCGACTACAGGAATCACATGAGTAACGCCGTCACCTGAGTCGATAACAGTTCCAGTAAGTGAACGACTGTCAGTTCTATTAGAACACCATGAAGCTGATAACGCTAATACAGCCTGTAAAATTAACACAGATTGAAGTAAAAAATATAAATGAATGGTAACTGCTAGGAATTATGTATGGACTATTGTTACGTGCATTCTTACTCGATAACTATTAAGTAACCATATTATATGTATACTCATATACCTTTTATTATAAACTTCCATTTGACCTATAGACTATTAATATACGATTTACTATTCTTAAATTATGTCCGATCTATTAGTTACAGGATCTCACAGACACTTTTGGCCGGATCTTGTATAGTTGTTATATTCTATTTTACGGTAAGATGAGGTCTGATTTGCTTGTACATAAACTGCATATATCTGAAATACATGATTCATTCATACAGTGGAAGCTGAGATCGTGTTCTGGATTCAAAAAGACAGGGTTGGGCAAGAAGAACTAATAAGGACTTAATGTTGACTCTAGACTGCTCCTACCAGTTAACGCGTTGATGGTTTAGTACAGTGCCAGGACCATTTAAGTCGTGTTCTAATTGGCGATTTAGTCACGCGATATTTAACAGGGCATCTTCCATTAATTACTATCATGCCAGACAGATCGACTGAAGACGATTAAAAGCAACAACCTAATATATAAAAACTCCACCTGTATCACTTCTAGAGTTACTGCCGGTCCCAAGCCCGGGTAAAGGAGGAGGGTTGGGCATGGGGTTAGCGACCCCATCCCGTAGAAAAGCTAACTCGCTAAAAAAACGCTAACCAGAAAAAATAATCCAAACCATTTAAACTCTGCCCTGGGAGTTGAAGGAATAATGACGTCTCATGATGAAAGCCGAAATTCTTCGGAAGTCACGAGGCCGATGCACCTTCTAACAACCAGAGCAACACTCTTTATAGGTACATGGAACGTCCGGACAATGTGGGAGACAGGAAAGACCAGCCAAATAGCAATGGAAATGAGGAGATACAACTTGGCAGTACTCGGAATCAGCGAAACCCATTGGACATAAACTGGACAACAAAGGCTAGGTACAGGAGAGATGCTGCTGTACTCCGGTCACGAAGGGGAAAATGCGCTACACACTCAGGGAGTTGCTCTAATGCTGCCCAAAGAAGCACGAAATGCACTTGTGGGATGGGAATCTCATGGACCCAGGATAATCAAAGCATCATTCAGAACAAAGAAGCAAGGGATCACAATGAATGTTATCCAATGTTATGCACCCACCAATGATAGCAACGACGATGATAAAGATCAGTTCTATGAAAGGCTGCAATCAATTATGGAGAAGTGCTCACGAAAGGACCTCACCATCCTTATGGGAGATCTAAATGCTAAAGTTGGAGTGGACAACACAGGATATGAAGATGTAATTGGACGACATGTACTAGGAGAGAGAAATGAAAATGGGGAGAGACTTGCAAACCTATGTGCTTTCAACAAATTGGTTATAGGCGGCACAATATTCCCACACAAACGCATACACATAGCTACATGGATCTCACCGGACCACACCACAGAGAACCAGATTGATCACATCTGTATCAACAAAAAATTCCGAAGATCAATGGAAGATGTGAGAACCCGGAGAGGAGCTGACATAGCTTCAGATCACCACCTGGTTGTGGCCAAGATGAGACTGAAGCTTAAGAAAGACTGGACAACTGGACAAACAGCACTACAAAGGTTTAATACAGCCTTCCTTCGAGACACTGACAAACTCCATGAATTCAAGATAACTCTCAACAACAGGTTTCAGGCTCTACAAGATCTACTGAAAGAACAAGAAACTACTTTGGAGGACAACTGGAAAGGGATAAAAGAAGCACTAACTTCAACGTGTCAGGAGGTTCTTGGTCCTAAGAAGCACCATCACAAGGAATGGATCTCTATGGGGACCCTGGACAAACTTCAAGAAAGGAAGAACAAGAAACTAGCAATTAACAACAGCCGAACACGAGCAGAGAAAGTCAAAGCACAAGCAGACTACGCAGAAGCAAACAGAGAAGTGAAGAAAAGCATTAAAGCCGACAAGCAGAAATACATGGGAGAACTAGCAACGGCGGCGGAAAAAGCTGCAAGAGAAGGGAATATGAAACAACTATATGATACAACGAAAAAATTGGCAGGGAGATATAGCAAACCAGAGAGACCAGTCAAAGACAAAGAAGGAAAGACAATCACTGAGATTCAGGAACAGAGGAAAAGATGGGCAGAATACTTTGAGGAACTGCTGAATAGACCAGCCCCAACGAATCCACCGAACATCGAAGCAGCCCACACAGACCTTCCAATAGATGTCACTCCACCAACGATCGAAGAAGTCAAGATGGCCATCAGACAAATCAAAAGTGGGAAGGCGGCAGGACCTGACAATATACCAGCAGAAGCACTGAAGTCAGACATTGAAATAACTGCAAACATGCTTCACCTTCTATTCAAAAAGATTTGGGAAGAGGAACAAGTGCCAACGGACTGGAAAGAAGGATATCTCATCAAGATACCAAAGAAAGGAGATCTGAGCCAATGTGAGAACTACAGAGGTATCAGTTTGTTATCAGTACCAGGAAAAGTTTTCAACAGAGTGCTGCTGAATCGGATGAAAGACGCAGTAGACGCCGAACTTAGGGATCATCAGGCTGGATTCCGTAAGGATCGGTCGTGCACAGACCAGATTGCGACACTACGGATCATCGTTGAACAATCAGTTGAGTGGAACTCATCACTATACGTCAACTTCATCGACTATGAGAAGGCGTTTGACAGCGTGGATAGGAGAACATTATGAAAACTTCTTCGACACTATGGAGTTCCTCAGAAGATCGTCAACATTATCCAAAACTCATACGATGGATTACAGTGCAAAGTGGTGCATGGAGGACAGCTGACAGATACATTTCCAGTAAGGACCGGAGTCAGACAAGGCTGTCTACTCTCCCCATTCCTCTTCCTTCTAGTGATTGACTGGATTATGAAGAATTCGACATCTGAAGGGAAATACGGAATACAATGGACAGCTCAGAATCAATTAGATGATTTGGACTTCGCAGATGACCTAGCCCTCCTCTCTCATACACACGACCAAATGCAGATGAAGACAGCAAATGTAGCAGCAGCCTCCGCATCGATAGGCCTCCACATTCACAAAGGAAAAAGCAAGATTCTCAAATGCAACACGGAGAACACCGACCCAATCACAATTGATGGCGAAACTCTGGAAGAGGTGGAAACATTCAAGTACCTGGGGAGCATCGTTGATAAACAAGGAGGATCGGATGCAGATGTAAAGGCAAGGATTGGCAAAGCAAGGGCAGCATTTCTACAATTCAGAACATATGGAACTCAAAACAACTCTCAACCAATTTCAAGGTCAGAATCTTTAATACGAACGTCAAGACAGTCCTACTGTATGGAGCTGAAACGTGGAGAACTACTACGGCCATCATCAGGAAGGTACAAGTATTTATAAACAGTTGTCTACGCAAAATACTCAACATCCATTGGCTGGATACTATCAGCAACAGCGTTTTATGGGAGAGGACAAACCAGCTTCCAGATGAAGAGGAAATAAGGAAAAGACGTTGGAAGTGGATAGGACATACATTAAGGAAATCACCAATGTGCATCACGACTCAATCCCTAACTTGGAATCCGGAAGGGAAGCGGAAAAGAGGAAGGCCAAAGAACACACTACGCCGGGAAATAGAAGCCGATATGAAAAGGATGAATAGCAACTGGAAAGAACTGGAAAGGAAGGCTCAGGACAGAGTTGGATGGAGAATGCTGGTGAGCGGCCTATGCTCCTCGACGAGGGGTAACAGGCGTAAGTAAGTAAGTAATATATAAAGGTGAAGTCTTGATGTTAGCTTCACAGGGGTGTGACGCAGCAGGGTGGTCCCCTTAGACAACCACCATCTACAGATATGATGTTTTTACACAACGGAAAGGCGGAGTTAAAAGACTAGGCCTAAAAGCAGCACACTTCATCTCACCCCATGGATTAGGTCCCATAGTAAGACCTTAAAAATACGGAGCTAATATATTGAGAACTCTTGCAATGTTGAGTACTAAGCATCTAAAACGCCAGAGGGTATAGATGTTTTTCAATGAAGCATACACTGATATAAATGGTGAATGATACATGCATCACACTAAAGAGTTTCTTTTTACTACCATCAATAATTTGCGACATTTTGTTACCTAAAATACTTCAACAGTATGAACTTGACAAAGATCTCATAAATCAATATTTCTCAACAAAGATCTATAGACATATAGAAGGGAAAATGTTTGAAAGAAAATCTTACCTGTACAGCGATATAAAGACCAGGAATATTAAACGTTTCAAACATTATTTCAGCTAAGTATTCACGATTCTCTGGTGTATTCAATGGTGGTTCTGTCTAGAAAACAAACAAACCAAACAATACGGTTGGAAAAAGAGGAAAGAACTAAAGAGAAAGATTTGATTTTAATTTTTATTGTGTTAGGACTACTAGATATGATCCAGTGGGATTTACCCTAGCTACAAAAAAACGGATGAAACTTGACTGTATTAACAATCAAATCACCACGCATTTAATTCTTAATATTACACCTAGATAATGCTTTTTGTTTGATTAGTCACTTATGGCTGAACATTTTGTCAACCACGCGTATATAGTCACAGCCAGAGAAATCCGACTCACTATCTTTTCGTGGTGGGAATGTCGGTTATCAAATTGAAAGGATGGAAAGTAAATTTCCGGCACCCAAGCTGAGTTAGTGGGCACGGAACATCCACCTAGTGGAGTTGGAAAACCCTAATTCAAAATCAATGGTGCATATAGGCATCAGGATTGGTCACTGGCCATTATGGGACCGCAACACTGAACGTTCCTCTACTGTCTTATGGATTAGACTTCCGGGGTAAAGGTTTGGTGAGTGACCTGAGAAAACCATTCGCTTCGGTTGGGCGACCTGTACAGTATCCCAGTCTACACGCCATTCCAATTATTTGTGGGATCCATATATATTTCGGTCCCCCTTTGTACCAATGTTTATATGTTTAAATAAATAATATCGATAGAACAATGAAAAGACGGAGCTAATCTGATCTCATTGTTCTGTCGAAATTTATAAAAGGGACCAATTGCCTCAAATAAATAATACATTTTATGTTAATCAACGCAAATTCTAGGATTATTTTTTAATAATAAAATAAAAAAGCATACCAAAAGAAAATAATGATCTTCAGGTTCTGCTCGAAGTAATTTGAAAATAAGCTGTTCCATGTAACGTTGCATTAAGTCCCAATCTTCGATAATACCATGACGAATAGGCCACTAAATTATGGAAAATAATAATAAGTTTAAATTATCATATGTTTAAGACTTTAACCGTTCCAAGCATTCAGTTATGATTTCAGACACAACAGTGTTTCCCTATATTAGTCTTATGGTCCATTTTTTAATTTATCCTTATCAATTGATGTACATTTTGAATATTAACAGTAGAATGAATAGGGATGTATTTCCAGTGTTTTTCTTGCTACCGTAATAATAATAATAATAAAGGTTGTCTTGATCTGAATATGACAGTATTCCGAGGCTGATGAAGTTGAATTTGTTCGTTCCGTAGTAGTCAGAGCCCAAGCAAACCGATTGGAGTAGTGAAACTTCATCAGTTGAGATGGCTGGGACACGTGTTACGTATGCCAAACCACCGACTGCCCCGACGTGCAGTGCTTTATGATGTAGGAGTAGGTTGGAAGAAAGCTATGGGCGGCCAGACCAAAACGTGGTACAAATCAACGAAGTCACTGACAAGTGGACTGAGCCATGCTGCTAGGTGTAGACTACCTGGTTGGGATTCGCGAGATGATAGCCACCGATGGTTAAAGACCTTGAATGACATGGATCAAAATCGTTTGCAATGGCGAAGGTGAATCCACTCTTTGTGTTCTACCAAATTCTAATCTTCTGAATTCTTCATGTCCGTATCCTTTTTCTCTTTTTAAATTTATTTCACTGGATTATACTCCTTCGATAACATCTTCAAACCCTAATCTTTCACATAATGCCTATACTCTTACTACTTCTACCACTATGGGATTTGAATCGACAACTGCATCTCTGTATCAATGTGGTATGGCAACTCGAACTTATGTACGTATGTACGAAGTTCTACGTTGTGACTGACTGATTAACTGAAGCACTATCTAAATGATGGCATGAAAATATACGGAACTACTAGAAAGTCTATCACATGTCATGAGATGAAAAATTAAATTGAAAAATAACAAGGATAAGGATACTAAACAATGTCAGATTCCATTTCTATGAAAAATATGTCTTACTGTTTAGGGAGAACACAAAACCAAACCAAAGCATAAATGTTGAAGGATTTTGCGTTAAGACTTATTGATAACTTCTCTATTCAACTAGTTGTAACATCTCAAGGATTGTAACTTGATAGTATACTAACAGATGATAATCCGACACAATTTCTATTCATTTCAAAACTAGGTAAATAGATACAATCAAAGTGAAAAGTGGCTGACGACAAAAAGTACAATTTGTTAGTTTCTATCGATGGGTTTCAGCCTAAATGCAACTAAAACCATTTTTCTACCATTTGAATGAATTTCTGAACAAAATGTGATCAACAACAGCGGATTTAAATGCAAAAGTGGATGACCAAATCAGGTATTCCGAAAACTTTTGGAGATGTATAAGCGATTAGTACTGATTGACTGTCTACACTACGGGTGTCTAGGTTCAAATGAATCGCTAAACTTGTTATTTGCAGGTAGGATGACAAGAATTCGCGTAAATACCCGATTTTAGACTAATGCTGTCCTTGAATACAGTCATGACTGATGTGCTACTAGCCATTCCTCCTAAAAATCAAAAGTCAACAAAGAAGGGTAGCAAAATTAAAGGACTTGAAATGATATATAACATAGCTCAGAAATGAGACAAATAAAAGTTTCGCTTTAATTCGTTCTCCAATAACTCGTAAACAATAAGATGTAAACTTGCGAGGAATCATATCTATTTCACATAAAATATTTTCTCTGTAAGTCTTACTCTGAAATTTCTCCCTTTCGTTTCTACACTATATTCACTGTTTGGTATAATGTATGGTTCTATTGTCACTAAACAATGATACGTGTTCAAATATATAAAATTCTGGATATATAAAAATAAAGTCAATGTGGACAGCACTTAAAATTTGGCTTATTTACTGTGGCAATTTAGTAACAGAATATGAATAATCTGAAAATTAGTAAGAATATTTCTGTTGTTATAAAGTGAGATAACTTGTATTGATAAAATTTGCTAGGTCTTCCGATGTTGTAGGGATTTTTCACTGTTTGAGAACCTAAAAGGTCATTGAAATGTTATTCTATAACAACAAAGAACGTAATACTTCTCGTTCATTGCTAGTTATCGGTACGTTTAAAACATGAAGTAACAAGGTAAACATATATTGTCTATTTAATCTTTGGCTAAATGAAACATGAATGCATGGTTAGTAAAAGCCAGTAAAACAATGTTTTCAACAAAAAGTGGGTTGAAATCGATTACATAAATCAAAACTTGGTAAACGAATTAAATTACTTGGATGTCACAGAGTAAATGTACAGAAACCAAGACCAGGCTTATGTCACAGTATTTTGTTTGATAATTAGTAACTTTACCTGGACATCAAAACTAAAGGAAATTGATTGAAACTCAAGTCTAACTCGGTGCTTGAAAATCCAGTTTTACCATAAATAAACTACCGTTCCGAGAACACGGATGAGACAAACCGCAAGTTTACCATAAAAAGATACTTTGCAAACATTGCATTTATGCAATGTTTTGCCACCCCTGCTAGATTCGGCAATCGCCTGACCGAGAGGCTATTCATATCTATCAGAGTTTAGAGAACCGATGCAGACACGATTCCCAAACGAGATAGCTAACACTAGGAAGAACGATTTTAAAAATGAAAACTACTTTATTCAACTATCGGTAAATTAATCACAAGCGGAGTAGAACTTTCCCCATAAGTGCTTTAGTTTAAACTACCACATCAGAATATATAGATGAAATTGTCAAAATGAACACCGAAATATAAGAATCGTAACGGTAAAAAAATCAGACACGTTATGATTCGAAAAGAATGAATTCATAAAATAAAAAAATGTAAAGTAATGCTGGAAGTAGGAATCTAGCGGAGGACAAACACTAAACGGATCTGTCCTATGCCACCTAACGTCTCCAATCACAGATCATGATAATCGCATGGACCCCGAACAGGTCGTTTTTATTTATAGGGAAAACTGAACTACAGTTAATGACTACATTACCCGATGACACTTCTTGGTTCCAGAGCTTGTAGTTTTCTAACATAATTGTACTGTGAACTGAGCATCGAGGTATGAAGTGATTGGGCTTACGTAACATGTCTCAACCAACTCAATTCATGAAAATCAACAGTATTATTCACCGATTCGACATTTAACCTAGACCTGAATGCATAACCTTAAAATTGTTCATTTAGTGGTCCTAATATACACGAGGAATGGCCCAATACTAGTAGCCTATGAATGCCTTTTATTTCTTATGACCACGTTGCAGTCTTTAAGTAAAAGTGAACCGCCATACTGTATATTTATTCTTTGGCTGATAGAGACATTTCATCTAAATAACAACCAACGCATGCTAACGAGTCTGAGTCTGTGCTAGCATCTTTTCAAACACTAACCGATCAAATCTAATGAAACTCCCAAGTGAGTCTTCGTGTTAACTACTTCACTCGTTAGTTCACTCTCTTACACACACCAGTCCTAAAGATAAAATTCGCATTCAGAGAGTGAAAGACCTATGTCGAATATATATGTATTGTTGTCTAAGGAGATCTGAAGACTGCGCTGTCAGTATTTCGAGGGGACAGGTAGATCCAGATATGCTCGAGAATGACTTATGTTGTGAGAAATGGAAACAACAAAATCGACTCTGGTATTTCCGATTCTTACCAGGAGGCTGGGTCATGATATTAGAAAGCTTGATAAGACAATAATAAGTCCAATAATAGATTACATTACAACGTAAAGTAGTAAGTTTGTACTCCAGAATACTGTTTCCGAATAGTCTGAAAATTAAAAGTGCGGCCAGCAGAGAAGTGGGCTTTGATAAGACCAAAAGATTACGAATGAACACTTCTAAACGATCGTGGATCAGAATATAACTAATCTGTACTCATAAGTGTGACACTGTCAGACTTGAGAGAACTACTTTGGTGGACTGGAACAACATTAAACTATTCCCTTTGCGATAGATCATTGCCTTTCCAGGTTAATTGAACACATTTATCTCGACACTTTAAAACGATCAAATAATCGAAGTGAGTCCCCTAGATTGATATGTAATCATAGACAGTTAACTTCAGTGTTCCTGAGAACTCACTTTCACTGAGAAGTCATTCTTTCCATCGAGAGCGAGCGCCTCATCCCCGATGAAGAAATTTAGGTCATCTAAACCAGTCCCAAGTCGTCTAACTTCTCTGGTTCCAACTTTACTGTATTCCTTTACGGCAATGCAAGAAGGAATGATTGATTGAGGTTCTGTGTTCCCAGCATAACCTATTTTAGAGTATCTTTACAAATTGGATAGTAGACGACTTGTGAACCTTACCCTGTGCCATTATCAATTACAATGGCTGGGAGACGTCCGATCATAGTTCAACGTAACGCACTAACCAAAGTTTTCACTGTAGAAATCTTCAATATACAAATCCAGATTTGAGATTCTGATCTGTGTTCTGAGAACAGTGTAATTCAGTTCCTAGTGAGCTACTGACAATGTCTGTTCTTCTCTTGAGTGAGTCAAGCGAAGGGGTGGACACCACTTCTTTGGGTAACAGGTTCCAAGACTTGGTAACTCGATGTAAAAACTTGTTTGCCACAGGCATTTCGTTCTTTATTGGCTTTTCAACTCACCTGCTTCGTCCTCTAAGTTGTATTGATCTCGAAGGGAGAAAACAGAAGACATGTCAGGTCCAAAATCACTACTTAGTATTCTATAAATCAAAGTCAGATCACCTCTTAATCTGCCGTAGGAAAAAGTTGAAAGAGCCACCGCCTCAAATTGCTCTTTGTACGCCAAATCTTAGGGTTCTAGAATTCCTCGTATAGCTGTCTCCTGAACTTTTCACAGGTATCTGAGTCACCTTTTGAACAGGGGCTTGCAACATGAATGCAATTTCTATGTATGAATCTCCCTAAGTTTATGCCATGATGAACATATTAGTATCTCGTAAAATTCCCTTCTTAAGACCCATGGGGTTCCGAACTCCATTGCCGCGACTGAACGGTATTGGCCAGTGGTCTGAAGATGATGGCTCACTGACACTCCAAGACCCTTGTGAGACCGGACTACGAGCACTGACCCTTCCTCTATGCTTTAACTAATTGCCTTTGTACCTCCAGTGTGCATGTAGATACACTTGGCCGCGCTGATAGATGTCAGCCATTTTTCAAACCAGCTAGTCAGAACTAAGTTCTCTTGAAGTGCCCATGAATCTGCATGTCTTGTTTGTTTATCACCAAACTTTTACATCATCAGAGTATAGTGGCAACGGGGACTCAACTGACTTTCAGAGTTCATTTACGCACAATATAAAAAGTGAAGAACCTAGTACAAAGCCTTTCGTCACTCTTCTACATACTGGTTTCTAGGAGGAGTATTTGAAATTTATTCTTTCTGTCTACGACCTACCATGAAATCTTCGATTCACTCCCTGAAGTGGTCCAGAAATCCCTACATTTCCTAGCTTCAAGAGTAGTCTATTTCTTCACACAGTGTCAAATACCTTGTTAAAGTCTACTTTAGACAACATTTACTGATTTTCCATTATCTGTAGGCTTTGTTCATTGCTCTCTTGTCGCAAGGAAGTTTGTTGTGCGAGATGATCATCACCCGAAACCATGTTGTTCGCTATTTAACAAGTTGTTTGTTTCCATAAATGTCATTGCTATCCTCCTGATCACTCTTTCCAGTGCTTTAACTACAACACCGGTGAGGTTGACAGGTCCGTAGTTTGATACAAGTTGTCTTAATCCTATTTTATGAATTGGAGTGATAGTGATAAACTTCCAGTTCATAAACAACATGTCTTGAGCAAGTGACACACCGAATATCATAATAGAAGGAGCAGCACTGGGTTGTGCTATCGATCTCAAGGTGCTAAATATCTTGACCAAAGCCCACAGTTAGCAGCTGATTTTGTTACTTATATTTTGGTCCGATATTCATCCAGAAGAGGCTCCTGAGTGAAAACAGCCCTGAAATGGTTCGCCATGGCCTCTGCTTTGTTTTGGTTCTCATCTATCACATGAGATTTCCTTTCTTTCTTTATTATTTTGGTAATCCATTGATACATTATTGGTCTGCAACAGAACAGTCTCCGGCAGCTTGATCACAGATTAGACCAACTTTTTTTCATACTTTCACTAAGCTGCTCGGATTGTACCTGTGCACACATGTCAAATCGACCTATAGCGTCCTATTGTATTTGCTGTGACAAGGTTGATAACGATGTTTTTAATGTTTCCTCTTTCCTTTTAATAGACGTATATCTCAGCCTATTCAAGAATGATCTTGCTTATTTTTTGTTGGGACTGTCCAGGCATAAATGGTTGGGTTACTTGATTACATAACTGCCGGAAATGAGTCCATGCCTCTTTAATTGATGTATTTGGGTCCGTTTTCGAGTTTTCAACTGAGGCTGGAGAGATGATTGCCTTCATACCCCCTCTCCATATGTTAGGACGGACAGGCACAAATGGTTGACAGGTCATCTAAGCCTTGAACATGAATAAGATGACCGCACGATCACTTCTCCCCCAAGGTGGGAGGAAATTTAGTTGACTGATATCATTACCGTATGTTGAGATCAAGTCCAAAACAGACGAGGAGTCTTGCAGGTCATATCTGTTTGGATCATACGCTTTGGACTAGGACTAGGGTGACTGTGTTTTTTAACATTTTGCATTCAAACGATGTTTTTGTTAGCCCTACTTCCTCAATTTAAAGAAAAGGCTTATCTGCGTACTATTGTAATCCATTATTTGTCCTATTCTGTAAGGCTCATGTGTACTACCTATGCAGGAATAAAAGACTATTCGTTACACAGAATCAACGGTTGCATAGATGAAGAAAGGCATTGGTTACTGTAACGTATAACTCTTGTTGTTATTTTGTCAGAACAGATTGACGAAAATGCATTCGAAATCTTATCTCACAAACTTTTAGTTTTGACCATCAGACTGCCGTCAATCCTATTCTTGTGTCATTAATTATTGTTGTCATTCACTTTAACCCAAAGTCCAACTTCGTTGTATGTGCCTCTATATCCTTTAGCCTATTTTCCCTTCTTATTTTCTTCTCCAGACTCACACACTTGCCAACACATGACGTACATCCATTTTAGACCTGTCAAAGACTTGACACTACAGGCTAATCAAAATAATCGGAAGATCATTTGTGGAGTATCACTTGATTTAGAGAAATATTTCATTACCGCTTCCAGTGAGAACTTTCATCACAAACGTAACTTGATCTAATTTGGGTGTGATTACCTAGGCACTACCCCGAATTGATACCTGCATAGACATAGTTTAACGCTGAATTGTATAATTGAGTTATCGAAGTGATGAAGATTGTAAACGAAGTGATATATTACGATAAGTTCTATCTTATCCTTTTGGTCTCCATAGGTTGCAACTCTGGGGCCATTTACACATAAAACACGATAATCTTATAATGGTTTAATGTGAACAGGTTGACTTACATGAGTTAAATTACAAAATGTAAGTGTTTCACGTTTTCTTTAAAGGATGGAAGTATTTTAATATTTGCAGTATATTTTGAAGTAGCTTGTTTGTTAAGAATAACTATTTCAATCATCGCATGTCTTAAATGTTCGTTATCATTTATTTTGATCTGCGGTTATATCATAATACACTACTACTTAAGGATTTCTTACTACAGTGTATTGTTGAAGAGGTGCTGTAATGCTGGGTTTCTAATAATATTAAATACTAATTGATGACTGTTAAACTGTCAGTGACTCCAAATTATACATCTGTTGTAAGAACGTTATACTGATTGCGTTTTTTTCAAGCACTTTTCAATTACACAGAAATGAAGAAAATCGTCCGCATTAATTCCTCTAGAAAGGGTAGGTAATTCAAAGGACCTACTGAAAATGGAGGTGTGCTAGAAAAGTTCAAGTACGTATCTTAACGACCGAAATATTAATATTATGTTTGAACGCAGAAATAACGAACCAGAGTTTATTCGATTAGACCATACTCCATTCTTCTATATATCATACGAAGGGTTTTTGAGGGACTCGCTATGAAATGTATCCTAACACAGACTCCGCGTTCAAATTTAAACTGTTCTATCTTAATAAAAGAATAAATTATATCAAAGGTACGTAATGCCTCGAACGGTACAGCCTGTGCTATACAGCGATGAGTTTCTCTAACACAAGACAATGTTCAGAAAGCGAAAGGAATAGTTGATAAAAAAAAGTGTTTGACACTTGAGAATCAATAAAAATATACCCTACAATATGTGATCGGATGTCTATTTGTGAAGATTACGGTGATCTTTGCAAACGTCCAGTGAAAAGCTGACGGCAACGCACTGAATCGCACCGTGACCTTCAGTTTGGCCAAAATGACCTTATTGCTAATGGCCCGGAAACATGTAGCAGTAAGAACAAGTAACAACAGATAAGTCTTTAATCAAGACAACACAACGAAAGCTAATACGAGGAAGGCTGAAAACATGGAATGCGGTTAATAGAAAACAAAATGATGACTAAAGCACAAGACCATGTGAAAACATGATAAAAGTGTTCAGTGAAATGCTCAGGGGAGATTTCGGCGTGCTTTTTCCGTTACGGCATTACGCCCTATCATTCTTAAGTGAACTATATGAGGATACAATTGTTTTTTCTAAATCTTTTTTTCTCTGTTGCTGCCCAAACTAAGTTTCTGTTAGTTTTCACAGAAAGTGTATGCTATTTCAAATAAGTTTCTTTAGGTTAGTTAAACGATTTGGAACAAAAGTGCTTTAAAACGAATTCTGTGTTTATGTATGCTTCATAGCTACCATGTTACACTTTATAAGAGAAAGGATTTGTGTGTCTGCTTTAAGTAAAAATTACTGTTTTTAGGTCTCTTGTAGTATTGATAATATTTGATGTATATACACCAAGTAGTGCGTTGACAAACTGAGAGAACTGTCAGTTGTAATCAATTAGTTTATTTGAACCGGATTAATAATTGTATGCTTAAAATGTACAAGGATACATTGAACGTACATTACTTTGGACAACTTGAAGGAATTTGAAACATATCTCATGAACAACATATAACACTTTCAGTGTTGTTAAAATTACTCTGAATGTGCTTGAAATTATGACTGTTTGTTTAATGCTACCAGTTCGACCTTGAGAACGAGAGTGTTTGTATTTTTAATTTAGGTCATTAGATATGAATGTGGTAAGATTTGAGAAGCTCTGTACTTTGAAAACTTGCGGTATTCCTAATTTAATCGCTACTTCGCATTCAAAAATGAACCACAGAAGTGTATTTTTGAAAGTCCCCATGTTCGATCAAGATGGTTATTCGTAAAGCGATCTCCTGACCACTTCACTAAGTTTTAGTTAGCAAAGTTGTTGTCGAGAGACGTACTAAGATTTACAGACACCCAGTGAGGTTCAATATAGAGTGTTTGTTGGCTGTGTGATTAATTCACTTGCCAATATGACCCAATTACATTTTAATTTTGTAGTTGACGTCATCTCGTTTCGGAAAATTTTGCTTTCAGTCATAACTTTCTCCTATAAGCTCAACTGGCCGCAGTAACTCCTTACACTAGTTCCCACAACTTTTGTGACCTTCAATGCTAGTTAGTACGTCAAAGGCTTATTTTACAATTCCGAATAAATTGTACCGAACCCCGGTTTAGTCATAGACTATAAACAACCTAAAATGAGTTTCAGACTTTCAAGTACTAGCAAACGTAGCTTTTCACGCTGCTTGCTGTTAACATCAATGTGTAAACTTCTGATACATCAATCTTTAGCTGGTCCTTTGAATAGAATACCCTTACAACATTTTTTTGTCAAACCTACATCCAGAATACAGAGTTGCTAATACAGTTCTGTTTATTACAAGATTAGATCTGAAATGTTAGTTCAAGGAGATTAAGTACAAAATAAACGTGATGTCTTTGTGCCGGTGTTGGAGATTATTTATCCAGTAAACACCACAACAAACTTACGGACGGTTCAAGAATTTCCAGGAAACAAATAACTTTTCCGAGTTTTCTGTAGATATAACCGAGATTAATTCTCGATAGGCTTGTGTTTTGGACCCATTTAGGTAATATGGTATGACGTGACAATTTAGGTCACTGATTCTACACAGTTTGTGATTTATTTTTGTTGTTTTCACGAATTTATTAGCTATTTTCATAGCTTACTTTTATGCAAACGAGATTGAAAAATACAGGGAAATTTTCGGTTTCAAGTAAATATTTAACTTTTCAGAAAGAGACTGTCCGAAAGTTTTTGCATTGAGGGTGAAGTCACACTTACTAATAGTCGTTCTCTCGGAAGTTTGTGGTTGGACGTATCTAGGATTTTTAAAATGAACTAATATCATCATCTTCAGAACAGGAAAATCCTCAATTTTTGATTCTAAAAATACTTAAATGTGTTGACAAAATAGTCATCATGTTTTATATTGTAACATTTTATTTGAATAAGTCATATTTTATGTCCGGGTGAAAAATGAAACTGTTTCTTAAACTTTCTAGTGAAATATGATAATTTCAGAGGATTCAACGATACATACTGTTTGACTCATGAGGCTTGATTCATGGGCGATTCGCCAAAACAAACAAATCACCTCACTTTTTTAATTATAGCTTGAAACGATTTAAGAAGATATCAAAACATTGTTTCGCGTTACTACAACCTTATGGTGCAGATGTTCAAAGTGCTCAGACAACTAATCTCAATAGCTTGTATACAGCGAATAGAGTGATAAGCTTAATGGACTGATATTTCCCGTTAAGTACATTTGAATGACTTCTCCTTATGATTTGGAGCCTGTGTGTATCAAAAAAACTTCCTCATATAATTTGATGATGTATTAGCATATTTCACATGTGGTTAATGTATATAACAAATGTGATTAATTGTAGAAGATCCATGAATGCTCTTGAACGTATGAAATTTTAGCATTCAGCAATTTATCTCTGTGTCTAAGTGAAGAAATGACACTTGAATCTATCCGAATTAGCGGCTGAACCACTCCAGTTATTATATAAGGAAATAATGAGTCCGAAATGAGCAAACAACAAAGGACTGAAAAGTATAGCCAAAATCATCATCCCATGTAAATGAAACAAAATAATTCTTTTCAATTCTTCTAAAAATAGCACGCAACTAAGTATTTAAATGTAAAACCCTATATTTAGTTTTAAAACGAAATGCGTGCTTCTCGTAGTTCTAACTTTTTATTACTGTATTTGTTACCTAGTAGACATTCGAAAGCACAAGTGTTGTTGTTGGTCAAGTAATATCCTTAGCTAAGTTACTGAATCAAATAATAATGAGTTTATAGCATATTTATCTCGGAATGAAAGCGCATTTTTAATAGTTGGATTGTGTCCTTTGTGAACTGAATTTCTAATACGCTGATTTCGATTAAATTGGACCACCTTGCTTCTTCAGCTGATTCTCATATTGAAATAAATTACTACTCTTTGATAATAAAATTTTTATTCATACAAATAAAAAAGCAGTATCAATAAGTGGAATACATTAATGATTAATGTTATAATAATTTGTTTTTTGAAGCTACGAAAAATCTATCGCAAGGTTACTTGCAAAAAGGAACCTGAAAAAGATAAATTAAAAGATGGTTTGGATGATCTTAAACAAGAATTGGATATGGATGAACACAAAATTCCGCTTGAAGAGTTGTATGCCCGACTTAACACTGACCCTGAAAATGGATTGAAATCTGAAGAAGTTAGGTTAGTATTAAACATTTTGGGATATCAAATTTTGTTTTAATGCAGAATTCGATTAGAACGTGATGGACCTAACGCCTTGACACCACCAAAAACAACACCAGAATGGGTGAAATTTTGTAAGACGCTGTTTGGTGGATTTTCAATGCTACTTTGGATTGGTGCCATTCTCTGCTTTATTGCATACGGTATTCAGAGAAGTTCTGAAGATGAAGATGTAAAGGATAATGTAAGTCCTTTTCATCATGCGAGTAAACCGGTTTTGAAAATAGAAGCAAGTTAGTATCCATATTACACCAGACCATGTATTTATTCAATGCAGGGTTATGTTTTGAGCCCTAAAAGTTTTCCATTTTAATACTCACTTAATTAAATGAGAGAAGTGGAAAGACAGCTAGTTTACTGTATACCTGACATTCAGAAATACGAGCTGTTTCACCCTTTCTGCAGTGAGTTTGATATATATAAGTGGACATAGAGAAGATCTATATAATGAATGTGAATAGTGATGGACAACATTAGCAAAAATGATAAAACAGGGATCAAACGCAGTTAACACAGAAAGTTATTCAAACTTATTAAAAATATGGGAAGTAAAAGGCTTAGTTTTAGGTATGTTACCCCTGAGTAACACACAACGATGGGCGACTCTCAGGACACGAAACTTTGCGTAAAAGTTTGAGAGACGGTTTACACAATCTCTTGTTACTCCTGAGAAGTGGAGAGATTGACCAAGGCTGGGCTTAAAACTTCCGCAAAATAGAAGAAAATAGGGGTAATGTAATGCAGTGTAGAGTAATATACCCTAACCAGGTTGGCTGCAGAGATTTTTATAAAGATACACTCAAGCTAAGAATATACGTTTTGAAATGTGGAACGAAGTCATAATTTTACTTAGTTTGTTCAGAGAACTGTGTAGGAAGAGATTTCCTACAGGTGCGACTCTAAGCTATTCTCTAGACTATCGAGCACAGAGTCTTGGTTTCTTCAAAGTCAGATAGAGTTTACTAAACCAAATAGCTTACTTATTCTGACTTTAGCGAAACCAAGACTCTGTTCTCGACAGTCTAGAGAATAGCTGTAGGAAATTGCTTCTAACAAACTGAATGTTCCACTATATGAGACAGAAAATAAATCCTCTTGTCCGAATTACGGGCATATTAGGATGAGCACTATTGATTCTAGAAAATAATCTCTCATAATCACTTGATTGCTGACATGAGCTAAGGAACACTAAAATTTAAAGAAGGCAGGATGGATTCAGACCGAGCTACGGATAAGTACATCAAATATGCACAGTTCGCCAGGTTTTGAAACAAAGGAATATTCACCGATTCGTGAACCTAACCCATACTTTTTACCCTAAGGACTTATTTGATCTTAAGTATTTTATGTAATCTTTTACGATCGAATAATGTATTGAAGAAACATATCAACCTTTTGGATGATGCTTATTCACACACTATTAATAGAGTCATAACATATCAGAAACTGTTTTATAATCCGACTCCCACTAGTAATATACAGTAAAGATCACGGATATCCCATTGTTGCTTAATCTTTTTGAGTATGTAGGGCTAGAAAAGACAACTTAATGATTTATCTTTTTACTAATTGACTGATTATGTGGACACTTTTTTGCTGACTCATAATAAACTAATGACATAATTCCGTTTGCCAAAGACGCTAACAAAATACAAAGTTTTCTAAACTCCATCAGTAATGCAAAGAGAATTTTCAGGACGCATTTCTTTCGTTTTAGATACAATATGCATCTTAAAACTCATTCCACATAAATATCCCAGACTAATCACCAAAAATGATGAAGTTTACACCATATGTCAATATTTGCATCAGCTTAGAGGTTGTCAGACGAATTCTCCACAGTGATTTAATAGCCTCCTTAACCTTCTTAGAATTGCATTCCCTTTACCATGACTGAACTATTCATTTGTTGATTTAGTTCAAAAGATATTGTACACTAGTACAGTATATACTGTTGTTCGATTGTACATTCATATGGAAAGTACAAAAAACTAACTTTCATTTTTACTATTTAATACCAGAACAATTTAATCAGTGATTAAAAAAACAAACTGTGCCATATTAAACTCATACAAGAAATGAATCAAATAGAATCATGTGCAATCATCATGTCTTCATATTTTTCTAAAAATGTTAATGTCGTTTATAGAAAGGAACCAATTATATGTAACTATAGTGTCTTTATAGAAAAAAAAACCAATTCGATCTCTTCTTGTTTCTGTCGCATATTTTTGCATAGTAACTATTTCTTATAAGAAATGAGATAAAGATTATTGTTGAGTGTATACTGAATCATTCAGAATTGAAGTTTGAAGTCTCTTAATCTGCCAATAACGAGAAATCTATATCTAATCACTACTTACTATGTATGCTGAGCGTATTAAAACCAAAGATTTAGTGGTTTGTTATGATTAGTGCTTTCTTTAAAATGTAAATTAAAGCAAAAATGTTGCATCAATAGGGATCTATAGGGAAATCTACTAAAATTCAATAGTGAACAATGCAGTCGTAAAGGTACTTCATATGTATAGAAAATCAATTGATAAGGTAATGAATCTTCATCACCTGAAATGGTAAGGATATTTACTAGTTATGGACAACCATGGTTTGCCTAAACGAATGATGTCAGCTGGTTAGAAGGTTGGTTAAGGAAAGTAAAGGAAGGTCAAACTAAAAAGTAGCACCAATCCATGAAACCATTGACAATTGGTTTGAGTTATGTTGGTAGATCCAGACTGCCTGGTTTAAATCCTCACAGTGGCTAGAGCTGTTGGTTGATATGGATGCTTATCGGTCACATTATCGTAAACGCTTCAGATCTCAGTTTCTAATATTCCTTCATATATGCCTTTCCATTGTCTTTTTGAATCATATTATCTGCGTTCGCCTTTGTTTATTATCATTACGACTACACTATAGAGTCTCCCTTACTATTCGCCCTGCTAATTGACCGTGGTTGTGCTGATATAGTGACAAAATATAGAACAACAAAGGATTGTAAATAGTCACTTCCGGAATGGTTTGACTGTCTTTTCGTGGTGAGAACGTTGGTTATCAAATTGGAAGGACGGAAAGTAAATTCCCAGCACCCAAACTGGGTTAGTAGGTACGGAACATCCACCTAACGGAGCAGGAAAACCCTGATTCAAAATCAATGGTGCATATATGCATCAAGATTCTAAGAGAAAAAGTGGTGCATAAATCCGTTCTTGGTCACTGGCCACTATGAGAGGATTTTATAGCATTATTATAATATTCACTCACAGGCTGTTGGCAATAAAGGTGAAACGTGACTGAAATAAATAGTACTTATTTAAAAGCCAAAAATAACCGTATTTATTGATTAACCAATGAGTAATATTCATTCACAATTTATACAAATTTTTGTGAAGATTTTCGAGTCTTATAACTTTTATAAGGAATTGATCTTAATTGAACAACTCCTAAAAATAAGAAAGTAAATAGCGTCTGTTTTGTCCTTATATGAGATTCTTCAGTAGTCAAAATTGACTGATCACTGGGTGGTGATCAATGTCATGCGTTTCAAGTTCTTCTTAGTGCTGATCGAATGCTATCGATCAAGTTGCAATGTGGCCACTAGTCTAGGTGACTCGACACTGCGTGCACTATGTTGAAATAAGATGGTGGTTGGAGGTGGTCAATAGGAAACCCTGAAACTGGGTTTCGTGCTACTTGGCACTCGTCAGTAAGGTGTACCTGTAATATTGAGGTGGCTTGTGTTCCCTGACGGATTCGATCCCGTGTCACTCAGCTTCTCAGTCAGAGACATTACCACTGAGCTATTCGGGCCGCGACTGATCTCCTGTAGTACTGAGATGTAATCACAATTGTTTGATCACTGGATGGTGATCAATGTCATGCGTGTCAAGTCCTTCTTTATTAGTGTTTATTTAAAACCTCACCAGATCGTCTAATTAAGTTGAGTTCCTCATGTAGACTATGAATATCTACATTTTTCATAACTTCCGCCCCCACATCACTAATAACAATCATATATTCACTGGTCACTAATTCTGAAACATGATTCCTCGAGTTCTAGTGAGAAGATTTAACCTGTAGAGTTCAAACATATTAGAAATGAGAAAAAAAAAGACAACAGATAGTGATCGTGTAATATCGCGAGTTTATTGAATGTAGGAATATAAAGTATTAAATATTGAATTATTTTTTTTTCTGGTTAGCGTTTTTTTAGCTAACCCCATGCCCAACTCTCCTCCTTTACCTGGGCTTGGGAACGGCAGTAACTGTAGAAGAGCTACAGGCGGAGTTATTAAATATCGACTCACTGGTTATATAATCGTATTAGAATAAACCTTCATATTAAATGTCCCCATTTATTTATCTTTCCTTTTGCATTAGTTCACATATTCTCATTACTAATGTTAATGATAATTAGGAATTCAAAGGTGGTTTTTGTGAAGATTTAGTATTTGCGTAGTTGAAAGCATGAGTCAATTGAAGCTAGACCACTATGGAAAACCTGGAAGCACCGAACGACCGTTTCGTCCTATTGCACACTGCTGAGGAATCCCACAATAGGACGAAACGGCCGTCCAGTGATTCCAGGTTTTCAATGGTGGTTTACTTTCAATTGACTCATGCTTTCAATGAATAATTCACTTTTTCTTTTAATTCAATGTTGTTTGTTCAATATTTCTTTTAGTTATATCTTGGTATTGTTTTACTTGCTGTCGTTGTTATTACTGGATGTTTTTCATATTATCAAGAATCAAAATCATCACGTATTATGGATTCATTTAAAAATTTAGTTCCACAAGTAAGCAAGTTTATTTTGAAATAATAATGATGATTATGTTGTATTCTATGAAATAAATGATTTGATTTCATCTGGTGTTGTTTACTTGTATCTCCCCATTGATGTTTAGGATTGCAACTGGTCAGTCTCTTATTGACATATTTGCATCCTGTGTGGACTGCCTCGATATTGCCTGAAATCACAAGCATTATAAGCAAAGATGGATAGTGACAAGCAGTGAAATCCAGTTTGACACGCGTTTCGTCCTATCGGGACTTGTCAGCTGGATGTGCCTGCATCTCAGAGTTGATGTCCACTCTGGGACTTGAACCCACTTTAAAGCAAACGGTACTGGGTTCGAGTCCCAGAATGGACATCAACTCTGAGATGTAGGCACATCCAGCTGACGAGTCCCAAATAGGATGAAACGCGTGTCAAACTGGATTTCACTGCTTGTCACTATCCATCTTTGCTTATAAAGTGATTTAATTGTTAAAAAGGTTACATTTTAATTTTGTGCAATATCATTAAATTTAGATCATTAGAGACCACAGAATGAAGTATTAAATAGACAACAAGTTTAAAAGTAAGGAACATTGAAAACTGAACCATATTATTATTGAGATAGATATTTTCTATGTCAACTTATTATTGTACAGTGTCATAAATTAATTGACGGGCTATTGGATGTAAAAGTAGTTTTTTGGAAGTTGGATAATTATCTTAATATCCGAAGGTCAGATTCGAACCCGTGATATAGTCGTACATGCACCAATGATGAGGAATCTGATACAAAGGTAGGTCCTTCTCCCCTGATTATTCAATAATGACTTTCTACCTAGCGACTTTTTAATTGATTTAGACTACACCAACAATATAATTGTTTTTGATGATAACTGACTAAATAAAGAGTTTTCTGAACTCGACGCGTAGCAAAAGAGTATTGGAAGTAAATTTCTTTCTCTCTCTCCATCTAAATTCAAAACAAAACTGATGATCTTTATGGATTTAAATCTGCGTTACTTGGATTTACAGTCCATTACGTTACCATTAAAATATTTAGGTGGCAACCTAGCAGCAAAACATATTGCAAGTAATGTTGAATAACTTAAACATGATAGATAGATTTCGATCAATCAACATTGAGAACTAAACAAGCATGACGCCTTTTAGTGGACTTTTGTTCTCTGATCTTGATGGTTCGGTCGTGAAGCTTTCATCGCTCTTCTGAACGACATCATCAGCAGCACAAACTTCAAGTAAATTTCTGCTCTATCAAAATCATCCACTTGAGCTACAAATCTTCTCCATCATCTCAAACATGATGCTGGTCGTCGTTTAATGAATGATCAATGTTTCGATATGGAAGTAATTACAAGCCACTACAATTTCGGACAAAAGTGATGACATACAACAGTAAGAATTAAATCAAGTATTTCAACGACTTCTAACCAAAAGAGGTTTTTTGGAGACTGATTTAATATATGATCTGTATTTATCAAAGGTTGACTACAGTTAAGGAACCAGTTTAAACAGAAGGATACTAAGAAGTTGTCTGGTAATAGTATAGGAATATTCAGTAATATACACCGACAACTCTACTAAGCATCGAATCTATCACCTTCAAGTCTCAGTCAATAAAACCACTGGATCAGTGTCCACTAGTATGATTCCAGATTCAATCAGTTTACAGCCTGTTGCGATAATTATCCACTTCCATAGGTGAAAACTGTTCTACTACTAACATTTCTGAACTCTAATAGTCACGACATCTCACTAGAACTTTAATAACACCATGAAGTAAATAACTAGTGAGATGAAAATTATAGTTTTAGTTCAAAAGGATTAATTAAATTTATCATCTGTGCCCTATTGCATAATATTGATGTTCAGCATTTCCAGTGATAATAACACTTCCTTATCTCATTTGTTCTAATAATGATGTAATGCCATACAGAAAAACAATTTATCATTAATCTTTCAGACTGCACTTGTCATACGAGATGGTTTAAAAACTGAAGTACCAGCAGAAAGTATAGTTATTGGTGATATCGTTGAAGTGAAATTTGGTGATCGTATACCAGCTGATATAAGAATTATCACAGCTAGTTCATTTAAAGTAAGTAAATATATTGAATTTATTTTGATTAGAAAATTTATAGTTGAAATCATGAGTTAATTGAAGCTAGACAACCATGGAAAATCTGGAAGCATTGAATGGCCGTTTCGTCCTATTATGGGACTCCTCAGCAGTGCGCATCAACGACCCTGCACTCGCGAGATTCCAACCCTGAACCTACCAGTCTCGCGCCAGAGCACTTAACCGATAGACCACTGAGCTGGCCGTCATCCAACAGTGTTAAAGTCTAACTTCAACCAATCCAAGAAGTTTGAGCAACCGTTCACTAGTTGTCTTCAGTGAGGTGTTATTTCACAATAGACGTGGTTGAACTGCGCTGGTCACTGCTTCCCACTAGAACTCCAGGACATGTATCTTGAAGTCACTATAAAATTTAGCTATAAATGCAAAGTCAGTTCTATCAGTTAGACTTTAATTAATATCAGAAGGGGATTTTGTGGATATTATAGTAATTTTAATAGTTGTGATCATGAGTCAATTGAATCTAGACCATCATGAAAAACCTGGAAGCACTAGACGGCCATTTGGTTACATTGTGAGACTCCTCAACAAGGCATATTGTTTTGATTAATACAACTAAGTAATGATGTTTCTATTCGACTAATATTTGTGATAAATCAGATGAATTATCAGTCTGATTTATAGATTAGTTCCCGAATGCTAATTTATTTGTAACTAATACAGTTCTATCTAGATAATGAGAAATTTTTCCTTCGATTTTGATGTCCTGGATTCCTATGTCTTTTGTCTATTTTATTGAACCCATGTAAATCCAAGAGAACGTTGATGAAAATCAAAGCTGAATGAACTAGTTTAGCACAGATCTAGTATAAGTACAGTTATGAAGATGTTAGGTTTAAGTGCAGTATAAGAGGTCGCGGATATACAATATTGAAGAGTCTCATACTAGGATGAAACGGCCTTCTAGTGCTTCTAGGTTTCAGTGTTGGTCTAACGTAGGTCGGTTCATCATTTCAATGAAATGAAACCATATCATTAACCACATACTGAAAACATTCTTTTCAATAAATTCTCTTCAGATTCTACAAAGTTATATATCGAAATTGATAATCCATAAATAATCTAGGTTTAAAGTGAATATATCATGTTGGAATTTAAGATTATTTGTAAAATACAATACAACTGCCAGTAATATTATAGTTGAAAACATGAGTCAATCGAAGCTAAACCACCATGGAAAACCTGGAAACACTGGACGACCGTTTTGTCCTATTGTGGGATAGTGGATGCGCACTGTTACTAGGGAGTCCCATAATAGGAAGAAACGGCCGTCCAGTTTTTCCAGGTTTTCCATGGTGGTCTATCTTCGATTAGCTCATGATTTCAACTAGAAAACAACTTCCAGGGTTAAAAACTTGAAGTTTACTTGAATAAGTCTATACATATAGATAATATAAGGTATACGAGATGATTATGTAATTATGTAATTACGAATCAGAATTAGATTGCGTGATATATAAAACTATACAGATTAGATAAGAAATAGCTGTGAAGATAACCAGCCTTTGTCAAATGTTCATTAACAATATAATAGTTAGCATTTTCAAGTATTTTCCTGTTCATTTAGTTAATTAGTACTGAATATAAGAGTTTAACTTCCAATGACGACTTCATTCTTAATCATCCAAGACAATCTGTAAATACACCAAATTAGAGCATTCCAAATGATTAGATGAAACGAGCCAAAAATTTAAAAGATCTTGAAATAAAGTCCCTAGCGAAAAATACTCTTACATATGACATTCACTAACTAACAATTCTAGATATCGTAAACATATTGAACATTGAAAGACAGTCTACAAATTAAGGGATATATATTCTATCCTGTAAATAAAGCTGGGTGCTACTCATATTTCCGGAATGTTTACATATATTACAATTATACTGATACTAAGACATGTGATTACAATCAATTGAAGTTTATAAGAAACATAGAGAGAAGCTGTAAGTACCATACTAATACTTTTTCATCATACTATTAAAAATGATTGTTAAATAATTATATCAGTTATAAGCAAAGATGGATTGTGGCTAGCAGTAGAATCCAGGACGCGCGTTTCGTCCTATCTGGGACTCGTCAGCTGGATGCCCCGGCATCTCAGATTCAAACAAGCAATACCAAGTGAATTCAAACTTCACTCCATCGCACAAGCAAGTGGCTATCAGGATTCAGTAGCTAAGTGGATAGCGCGATGGCGTTTGGAGCGAACGGTACTGGGTTCGAGTTGTGGAGAGAACATCAACTCTGACATGAAGGTACATCCATCTGATGAGTCCCAAATAGGACGAAACGCACGTCAAAATGGATTCCTTTGCTAGCCACTGTCCATCTTTGCTTATAATGCTTGTGAATTAAAGCTATATCGAGGCAATACGCATAGGAGGCAACAACAACTGATATAATTCACTTGGTATTGCTTGCTTGAATCTTCCCATTGATCAGTCCCTTATTAGCAAAAAAAAGCTGTTTGACATATTTCTCTTGGATACAAAGCTCCAAGTTTTGATTCAAATAACTATTACTTCAACCATTCAAAGAGTTCTTATTCTGACATATTTAGGCAAATAATTTAACAGGATATAAGTATGACCAGTTTGCACTAAATGAGCTAAAACTGAACTGTTACCGACTGCAACGATACCTTTACTCTATCATACTGGGGGGAGGGGTATTCACGTGCACGAAAGTGAAAACTCCTAGAACATCTTGCTCCACAAAAACAGTTTAACTGATTCGTGTGCATAGAAAGAGGTAACTAGTCTAAGTAATTCATTCTTCAATCTTGTAGTAACCATATTTACTTAACTGTCAAAATTAATCGAATATGACTGTCGAACCACTTTTAAAAGAAAAAAATTATTTTTTACTTTAGGTAGATAATTCAGCATTGACTGGTGAATCCGAGCCTCAATCACGTTCAACAGAATTTTCTAATGAAAATCCATTAGAAACAAAAAATTTAGCCTTTTTCTCAACTAACGCTGTTGATGGTAAGTTATTTGTATAAAATGATACATTTATATTTGAAATTATTAATTTCTTACGCCTACAATATTTGGTCAAACGATAGCTAAAACATACCACTTATTTACTTACTTACTTACGCCTGTTACTCTCAATAGAGTATAGGCTGCCGACCAGCATTCTCCAACACACTATCTCCTGCGCCTTCCTTTCTAGTTCTGTCCAGTTTTTGTTCATTCTTCTCATGTCTGTCTCCATTTCTCAGCGTGATGTGTTCTTTGGTCTTCCTCTTTTCCTTTGGCCTTCAGGATTCCATGTGAGAGCTTGTCTTGTGTCGAAGTTGGATGATTTCTTCAAAGTGTGTCCTATCCACTTCCAGCGCTTCTTCCTGAGATCTGGTTTGTTCTCTCCCATAGTAGGTTGTTGCTGATAGAGTCTGGCCAACTGATCCAAAGTATCTTGCGTAGACAACTGTTAATAAATACTTGTATCTTCTGGAAAAACATACTACTGAATAGCGATCAACTTCATATTTTGACGTTTCTTTGTTCGATTCCTTCCTTCTTTAATTTCATATTTGTCTAGTCGTTTAGTACTGATTAAATTCCATTGATCGAATCTTCATTTGATCTCTAGTGTTTATTGTGTTTTGCTACTAGATCAAAAGGGTTCGAAATAATGTAGCACCAATGATAATAAGAAATGAAAAGCATTATGAATAAGGTTCAAAGAGATAGAGCAGATATTTGCATCAAGGAATACCAGAATTCAGAATTGAGAGGAGGTTGAATAATGAATGCACATGTAACATCGTGAACAATTCTGAGCTAAGTCACTCAACGTGTACAGCTACTTATCGCAGTTATTATGCGAACCTTAACCAGATGGGTTTGATTTACCAGCATGGATAAAAGCAATAAGCACTGAATATAAAAACAAACACCATTTTTTAGTTTTGCCCCTGTTGCTTCTTTTCCAAACTTATCTTTACACCATCACTAACCTTCGTCTAGGTAAGTGGTAGCTGAGCGTACGCAACATTTGTCCTAAAAATCTCAATCAGTGAAAACGTACAAACTCACTAACCAACCTGACACCTCTACATAGTGTTCTGTGCCTAACCTCAACATTCATATCTCAGTTGTTTTAAAAAAGGCACCTTTTAACCAAAACCTGTAACCTGTGTATGTCTTCTACTTTGCCTAGACGAATAACCAAACATAATGGTGTTCATCGTTCACTACTTCAATGAAACGTAATTAACACTTGAAAGACAGTAAAAGATGCAATTTACTTCATCAATTATAAACTGAGTTCCACGTATTATTAGTTTATGATCTTTGGCTAAATATCAGTATATGGCAGAGGAATTTCATTAAAATCATGAACCGATCAGTGTTAGACAACTACTGGAAACGTAGAAGTACTGGAAAGCTGTTTGTTCTAGTATAAGACTTCTCGGCAGTGCTTATCCACAATCCTACATGAAGGACTGAGAAATAGGACCTATGGTCTCGCACACCAATGCGAGCCGGTTTCCAACGCTGTTAATATTTAACTCCAATCAATCCACGACATTGTATGACCATCTTCCATTGTCTTAGGTAGGTAACTGCCTCAAGCTCGACATGGATCAGTTCAACTAGTCACGGTTTCTCAGTGGAACTTCGAGAATTCCCACTCAAATCTAGTCACCAGTGAGCACATGATAATTATCAATATGAGGTTGTGGAGATTGTTGAGTTTCACTGAATGTTCCAGTTTCATTTTGAATGTTTTTACATCAATACATATTTACAGTACATTAAAATATTAGCTTAACAATTTACTAAGAATGCCTAGTTATACTACAATTTCACTCTTAATAAAACTAATTAGTGAATAGTAAGCAAAGATGGATAGTGGCTAGCAGTGGAATCCAGTTTGACGCGCGTTTCGTCCCATTTGGGACTCGTCAGCTGGATGTACCTGCATCTCAGAGTTGATGTTCATTTTAGCACTCGAACCCAGTACTTTTCGCTTCATGCAGGTACATACAACTGACGAGTTCCAAATAGGACGAGACGCGCGTCAAAATGGATTCCATCACTAGCCACTATCCATCTTTGCTTACCATGCTTGTGAATTTAGGCTATATCGAGGCAATACGCACAGTATGCACATATGTCAATTAGAGACTGACCAGTTGCAGTCCTAAAAACATCAATGAGAAGATTCAAACAAACGATACTAATTGAATTTAATTAGTGAATATTTATTAAAATGGTACATCATAAACTTCTTTTTAAAATATATTAATACATATTACTTTGATGTTTAGGTACATGCCGTGGTATTGTAATCAGTACAGGTGATCGTACTGTTATGGGTCGTATTGCAAATTTAGCTTCTGGTTTAGAACTTGGTGAAACTCCAATACATAAAGAAATCAATCATTTTATTCATCTAATTACAGCTGTTGCAATGGTTCTTGGTGTAACATTCTTTATTATTGCCTTTATTTTGGGTTATCGTTGGCTTGAAGCTGTGATCTTCTTAATTGGTATCATTGTAGCTAATGTTCCAGAAGGTCTTTTAGCTACTGTTACAGTATGTTTTTTTTTAATAATTTTACTGAAGTGTTATTCTGTGTTTTTCTTTTTTGATTCATTCTAGGAAATTATCAGAAGGGGTTTTCGTGGAGATTTAGTATTTTCATAGTTGAAAGCATGAGTCAATTGAAGCTAGACCATCATGGAAGACCTGGAAGCACAGGACGGCCGTTTTGTCCTATAATGGGACTCCTCAGCAGTGCGCATCCACGATCCCGCACTCGCGAGATTCAAACCCAGGACCTACCAGTCTCGAGCCAGAGCCCTTAATCGGCTCGGTGGTCTATCGTTTAAGGGCTCTGGCACGAGACTGGTAGGTCCTGGGTTCGAATCTCACGAGTGCGGGGTTGTGGAAATGTTCCTATTTTTGAATTGAAACGTTGAAGATCTTATGTTATAGTTTACATTACGGATTGATCTTAGGTAGACAACAAATGAATACTAGGAAGTATGGAATAGCTGTTTTATTCAATTATAGGACTCATCAACAATGGACATTCACATCTGAACCCAAGACCTTAATACCTTGTTGAGACCGCCTAAAATTTAAACCACTGAGCTGTTAGCCAATTATTTATGTATTTAATTTCAGCCAATTTGTGATAGCGAAAAACTATCTTGACAAATGACCGCCTCATACTCGACATTGATGAACTCTTGGCTCTTAGTTTAACTGCCTGTAGTGGTTATTTGGATCTACTGCTGAGGAGTCCCATAGAAGAACAAATACTTTTGTTGTTGATTTCTGGTTTTTAATGGTAATACAACTAAGATCAGTCTGTGACGTAACCCACATGATTCAACAATCTTCCCAAACTACCTTATTATTAAAGATCGTATTTCCTGAATTAATCGATAACTTTGAACTACAACAATTTATGGAATGTTATTCATCGAAAGCGAAATTATTAATGTATCACATTTGAAATACATACCACTGAAGTTTTCCAGCAACAAATTATAAAGATACTACTAATTCCAACGTGACGTCCTTCATTGTTCCTAAAAGGTTCATACTAACAATTAATCCCTCGATTAGATTGTGTCTTATTATAGTCAGACTAGATGACATAGGAGTTGATTGGAAAAAATCTAGGGGAAGTCAGTTGGAAACATGTTATCAACCCATAAAATTGTTGACTACTGTTCTGAATAATGCCACAAAGTGATAAGAACTTCCGTGTTGAAGTTTGTACTGTATTCTTGACTATAAACAATTTTAGCCTTCGGTAAGCAGAGATGGATAGTGGCTAGTAGTGGAATCCAGTTTGACGCGTGTTTCATCTTATTTGGGACTCGTCAGCTGGATGTATCTGCATCTCAGAGTTGATGTTCAATCTGGGACTCGAACCTAGTACCTTTAATTCTCTGCGTACTATATCAAGTTTATAATTGAATCAATCCCTTCGTAGATTCTAATCAGTGTATAATATACAAATTAATTATTAATTTATCACTTACATTTTTAGGTATGTTTAACATTAACCGCTAAACGTATGGCTAGTAAAAATTGTTTAGTAAAAAATTTAGAAGCTGTTGAAACACTTGGATCAACAAGTACCATTTGCTCGGATAAAACTGGTACATTAACACAAAATCGTATGACTGTAGCTCATATGTGGTTTGATAATAAAATATTTGAAGCGGATACATCAGAGAATCAAACAGGTAATGTTACATTTCTCCTACCCCCTTCTGGTTTCGTTAATAAAACCACACTGGATAGGTTTATCTTCGTAGTGAACTATGCTTCAGAAGCGAGCAACAAAGAACTCATCTAACGGCTGAACCCAGAACTTTTAGGTCACATAATGAGTGCATGACCTTCAGATCAATGGATCAGCGTCTATTTGCTTACGTGTATTATTTTAATCGTTTGAATAGTTCTTTCTGGTTAGCGTTTCTTTAGAGAGTTGGTTTTCTACGGGACGGGGTCAGTAACCCCATGCCCAACCCTCCTCCTTTACCCGGGCTTGGGAGCAGCAGTAGCCCCTGGAATAGCTACAGGCGGAGTTTTGTTCAGTCAGTAATGTAAATTTAAAGAATGAAATAACCCTCCAAAGTAATCTGAAGTTCGTAAAATACCTTCCTACTTGAAAGAATTTACCTGATTGAAAAATTGTATAACTTTTTTGCTCGAATTGATTATTCAGTTGAGACAATCAAATTATTAACTTCCGTTTAGCAAAGCGATAGATTGTGACTAGCGTTGAAGTTCATGGGATGCGTTTCATTCTATTTGGGTCACTTCAGCAGGAAGAGACATTCACTCACCCGATTAGTCTAAAATAAATAAGACTAAACACACGTCCTTGATTACACTGTTAGTCATAATCCATTCCATTCATCAAGCATTTGACAAAATGGCTATGTTGAGACAATCCCCATAGAATCCCCATATGTCAACCAAGATTAATCAAAGTTTAGTCAAGTATATCAATAATGGGATAATTCGAAAACTCATCTTTTATTTCGTATTCTACAGGTGCACGTTTCAATAAAAGTTCACCAACATGGACAGCATTAGCACGTATTGCCATGTTATGTAATCGTGCTGAATTTAAAACTGGTGAAGAAAGTAAACCAGTATTAAAACGTGAATGTAATGGTGATGCATCAGAGACAGCTATATTAAAATGTACTGAATTATATGTTGGTAAAGTTATTGAATATAGAGCTAAAAATCGTAAAATTTTGGAAATTCCATTTAATTCTACAAATAAATATCAAGTAAGTAAATATTCTTTTTTTTTCATTCGATCCAATTGAAGTATTCATTTGGATGCTTATAGATATTTACTTACTTACTTACGCTTGTTACTACTCTTCGAGGAGCATAGGCCGCCTACCAGTATTCTCCATCCAACTCTGTCCTGAGCCTTCATTTTCATTTTTTTTCCAGTTGTTATTCATCCTTTTCATATCTGCTTCTATTTCTCGGTGTAATGTGTTCTTTGGCCTTCCTCTTTTTTGCTTCCCTTCACCATTCCAAGTTAGGGATTACCTCGTGATGCAGTTTGGTGATTTCCTTAATGTATGTCCTATCTACTTCCAACATCATTTCCTAATTTCCTCTTCAGCTGGAAGCTGGTTTATCCTCTCCCATAAAACGCTGTTGCTTATAGTATCCAGCCAGTGAATGTTGGGTATTTTGCGTAAACAACTATTTATAAATACTTGTACCTTCTTGACGATGGATGTAGTAATTCTTCACGTTTCAGCTCCGTACAGCAGGACTGTTTTGACGTTCGTATTGAAGATTCGCACTTTGAAGTTAGTTGACAGTTATTTTGATTTCCATATGTTCTTCGAATGTAGAAACGCGGATCTTGCTTTGCCAATCCTCACCTTTACATCTGCATCCGATCCTCCTTGTTTATCAACTATGCTTCCCAGGTATGTGAATGTTTCCACATCTTCCAGAGTTTCGCCATCAAGTGTGACTGGTTTGGTGTTCTCCGTGTTGTATTTGAGAATCTTGCTTTTTCCTTTGTGTATGTTAAGACCTATTGATGCAGAGGCGGCTACTACTTTTGTTGTTTTCGTCTGTATTTATTGGTGTGTATGAGATAGGAGGGCTAGATCATCTGCGAAGTCCAAATCATCTAAGTGATTCTGAGAAGTCAATTGTATTCCGTGTTTCCCCTCAGATGTCGAAGTCTTCATAATCCAGTAAATCACCAGAAGGAAGAGGAATGAGGAGAGTAGACAGCCTTGTCTGACTCCGATCCCTACTGGAAATGCATCTGTCAGCTGTCATCTGTGAAGTCCAAATCGTCTAATTGGTTCTGAGATGTGCTTACATAGATAACTTAGATTAAGATATGAGGAACAAAGTTTGTAATGAGCTCTTCTTTACAGTTTAAATATTTCAATTGTTGTAAATGAATGCATATCATATTTATTAGATTTAAGGAGTAGATAATATGAAGCTATAAGAAAGAAACTTTGGATTTGCGATTTTTCTGTTAGTGTATAGTCATTGACAAAGTTTTAAGTTCTATTTTAACATTGTTTATTATTCGGTATGGGATTAATGTAAATCACCTTACTCTCATCGGAGATCAATCACAGAGAAAATACCTAAATTCTAACATTCTTCACTGTAATGATGCGAAACATTCGTTTGCTTACCACAAAGATCATTTGTTCCATCATTATGACATCCGAAGAAATTACACAAAAAATATATACTATACGAATATTGTAATTAACCTATCACAGTCAAGTGAACTATGAGACTTTCTGTTTTACATAATTTGTTAGATAAATACTCAATACGAACGTCAAGACAGTCCTACTGTATGGAGCTGAAAGGTGGAGAACTACTACAACCATCGTCAAGAAGGTACAAGTATTTATAAATAGTTGTCTACGCAAAATACTCAACATCCATTGACCGGATAATATCAGCAACAGCCTTCTGTGAGAGAGGACAAACCAGCTTCCAGCTGAAGGGGAAATTAGGAAAAGACGTTTGAAGTGGATCTTATATACATTAAGGAAATCACCAATGTGCATTACAAGGCAATCCCTAACTTGGAATGGTGAAGGGAATCAAAAAAGAGGAAGGCCAAAGAACACATTACACCGAGAAATAAAAGCAGATATGAAAAGGATGAATAACAACTGGAAAAAACTGAATAGGAATGCTCAGGACAGAGTTGGATGGAGAATACTGGTAGGCGGCCTATGCTCCTCGAAGAGTAGTAACAGGCGTAAGTAAGTAAGTATGTTAGATAAATACACAAATTAGAGAAACTTCCATAAAATTCATGAGATCGCATATAATCTATGGAAGTAATACAGTGAACAAAATTCTTCATTAAATAAAACCATAAATTATGCGATCTATCGGGATCTTCAATTACCAATTCACCATCAACACTATTGAAGACAGAAAACCAATCGAGTACTTGCAAAACTATTATAAACATTGGAATCAGAATAAAAAATAGAAGTATGGTGTGCGCTATTGATGTCGACAGATATAAGTGAAATGTCTGAAAGTAGAAGGTTGGGAAGATTGAAGAGAAGAGAATGAGAACAAAGAATGATCGATATGGAAATGAAAAAACAATCAAGTTTGAAACAATTGATGGACATTTTGCAAATGAGTTATCTACTGTATAGTTCTGTGATTTTATATTAGAATACATTTAGTTGTCTCCACTCGTGTTCTCGTTCACTAAAGGAGTACTGATACACTCTAAGATCTATAATACGTTTTCTGATGATCATTGTTGTAGTACTTACTTGATGAACAATTGAAAAAGATTATAGTTTAATCTCTTACTATTTTATCAGATAAATTTATTTTTCCTGATCATCTTAACCTTATATTTAGTTGTCCATTCATGAAACTGACGACAATGATGAACGTTACTTGTTAGTTATGAAAGGTGCACCGGAACGTATTATTGACCGTTGCAGTACCATTTTACTTAATGGTAAAGAAAATAGTCTAGATGATGAAATGCGTGAACAATTCAATAAATCTTATATGGAATTAGGTGGAATGGGTGAACGAGTACTTGGATTCTGTGATTATCGTTTACCAGCTGAAACTTATCCAAAGTAAGTAATGATTATATACATATATATATAATGATACATATATTAGACTAATTTGTCAGATTGCAACCTCTTTTAGTTAATTAATGACTTGTGTTAGCTTATTAGTTTTAATATAAAGTTGAATCTTAACAAAGGAGAAATGTTCTTTTCAAAATTGATTGGGTGTTATCATCAGCTTTCAACACCGATTGTGTAGTTCTGGGTCAAGTAAAATAATCTGAAATGAACAAATGAATTACATTGGCAAACTGCTTATATAATAGTGTCTAATGTTAAGTGCTGAGTAAGTTCTGTTTATCCACCTAGCAATTGAATCATTGATTCAAATAAATAGACTTCTGAGAGATAGTAGATAGGTATCTAGATTTTATGTTAGTCGTCATACATCAGTAAGGCAATATATCTATTCATAAACGTTCTGATTGTTGCCGTGGAATTCATAACTGTATCGCTTATCATTATATTCCGTGATGCTAACATTGTGCTATTCACACATCTATCTCAGTCTTGAAATGAGCATTACGAAAAGAGTATATCACTGTTAGTAATGCTTTTGGATATGTTATTACCGATACTTAAAACTAAGTATCGGTCAGTAAAGATTGATAGTGGCTAACAGTGGAATCCAGTTTGACACACGTTTCATCCTATTTAGAACTTGTCAGCTGGATGTACCTCCATCTCAGAGTTGATGTCCATTCTGGGACTCGAACCCAGTAACTCTCGCTTGAAACGCCATCGCGTTATCCACTCGGCCACTGAGTCCTGATAGCCACTCGCTTGGGCAATGGGGTGAAGTTGAAATTTACTTAGTATTGTTTGTTTGGATCTTCCCATTGATGTTTTTAGGACAGCAACTGGTCAGTCTGTAATTGGCATATGTGCATACTGTGCGTATTGCCTCGATATAGCCTAAATTCACAAGCATGGTAAGCAAAGATGGATAGTGGCTAGTGATGGAATCCAGTTTGACACACGTTTCATCCTATTTAGAACTCGTCAGCTGGATGTACCTCCATCTCAGAGTTGATGTTCACTCTGGGACTCCAACCCAGTAACTTTCGCTTCAAACGCCTTCTCGTTATCTACTCGGCCACTGAGTCCTGATAGCCGCTTGCTTGTGCGATGGGGTGAAGTTTAAATTCATTTATCTTTACCAAAAATAACCTTGTCTAAAGGAAATAAACTTAATATTTCTGTTTGTCTCATCAGTCTAATTACAGCTTCCACAGAGAACAATATGGAAGTTGTCAAATATTTGCAGATTCATGAAACAACTATATATGTGAAATAAATGTCTAATCATGTTAAAATATTAAATAAATATTAATCCATATAGAGTTATAGATTTTTGAGTTTTAATTGAGATCATAAATCGATCAATGTAGACTGCTGAGGAGTTCCGAACTAGGACGAAACAGCCGTCCACTACTTCCAGATTTTCAATCATAGTCTACCATTGATCGGTTTATGGTCTCAATTCAAATATTAATCCATTAATCTTATATATTCTGTGGATAATAAGGAAGTCGATTCAAAAAGCATTATATGAGTATCCAGGATGGGTATCCAGGAATTCTCCGGAAAACTTGGCACCTTTGAAATGTCATATTGAGTAATTCAAACTTAGACAACCGAGCTAGCATTTAATGATTTACATTTCTAATTACAATCAATTCACGATATTGAACAACCATTTTCCAACTATCTCACACCCGACATGAGTAAACTTCACTAGTATTGGCTTCTTATTAGATGTCTGACAGTTAACTCTAGTTGATCACTAGTGATCATATGATTACCACTACTTTAAGGGGGTTTGTGAGGATTTTCGAAATTTCATAGACTGTATCTATTATTTTGGTACTATTGGATTATGCTCACACCCTCAAGGTTATCACTTTATTTAGGAATTTTAAATTCAATGAAGAAGAACCCAATTTTCCAGTTAGTGGATTACGTTTTGTTGGTCTAATGTCTATGATCGATCCACCTCGTGCAGCAGTACCAGATGCAGTTGCAAAATGTCGATCCGCTGGGATTAAAGTGATCATGGTTACTGGTGATCATCCAATCACAGCAAAAGCTATTGCTAAAGGTGTGGGAATAATTTCGGAAGGTTCAAAAACTGTCGAAGATATTGCAGCTGAAAAAGGCATACCTGTTGAAGAAGTAAGTTCATGTGGACAAATATTTTCTAGATAGTAAACATTTTTTATCGTACATTGTTTGAGATCATGCCACAAAGAGGAGTAGTAAAAGTAATTCCAAGATGCTCGAATATGTGAAATTGTTCTTATCTAAACTATCCAGATGTTTATTACACATGCTTGAAGTTATTACATCTTTCAGAAGATTAAATGTTTAACTGAAATAAAAGTAAGATAATAAGAGCCATTATGTGATCAGAACCAGACACAACAATGAACCATAAATCCACTGATTGGTATTTTAGGTATTTTAGGGTGTTATAGGATTTTCCGTTTAAATTTATTGTGATTTTAGAAATGTAATGTTAAGGTTGGATATTGTCGACAGTAAACTCTTTTTGACTAAGGTTTCATGATATTTGGCACTCGACAGAAAGGTGTACCTGTAATCTTTGTGCTCCCTGACCGATTTAATCCCATGTCACCCAGCGTCATTGTCACAGACGTTACCACTGAGCTATCCTGTGTGTGACTGAGTTGTTGAACTCAGATGTATCTACAATACATTTCAGCTACTCTAGCACCACCTCACACTTCACTATATTGTACTTGAATTCAAGCCACCTAGACTATTTTCTACATTGCAACTTGATCGATGGAATTCAATCACCACTGAAATGGACGTGACATACATGACATTGGTCACAACCACGTGATCAGTCAATTGTAAAGTGATTTCAGATGTACGCGATCGAACACACCTATGAATGTGACTTTAAATCGATCACATCATACAAGGTGTAGTTTTGTTGTATTTTCCACGAACTCACGACTATATTGTTGTCCCATTGTTAGTTTGAACCAACATAACAGCCGTAACTTTTAGTTAAAGACGTTGGATGAAAAAGAAAACGACTGCACCGCTTCAGTTACATTTGTTTTTGATTTTCCTTAAATCTTCATTTTATCTTCAACCCGTACCTTCCATTACTTCTCCATAGTAATGGATTTTAGACGCCTCCGCAGCATTACTCGATTATATTTGAACTCCAGGACTCGAACCTTTATTATTATTATTTGAACACATAAATATTGGTACAAGGAGGCACCAAATATATACGCGCCACATAAATCTCATTTCATTTGTGTGAGGGCTTGGATACTACGCGGGTGCCCAGACCGAAGCAGGTGGTTTTCTTAGGAGATCACACCCGGAGCCTTTGACCTAAAAGTCTAACCCACAAGGCAGTGGAGCGTCGTAAGGAGATACAGTCACATGGTAGCTGGTGACTGATAAATGGTTCATACGCCATTTGTTCGCTCAGGATACTGGAGTCCATGTGCACCATTGGTTATAACGTATGGGCCCGTAATTTATATGAATGCCAATTTAGAGAGGATTGAATTTATTGATCGGATGCAAATGATACTTGAAATACGTACGAGCAGTCTTGGGTGCTATTCGGTCCTTCCTATCTGCCTAGCCCAGCCCGTTAAGTCCAGAACACAAATAACAGCCTCGGCAATATGAATCATTATTTACAAACACACTGGGTTTTTATACAAACCAAAGTAATCAATAAACTGATTATAACTCAAGAATCGTATGATCATAAATCAAAGATCAAAATAAAGCTAATGATAAGAGAAACACGAATATGAATAGTTTAGTTACGTAATAATTGTATAATAGGAAATAGGCATAATACATTGGTCGATAAATAGTCCTTAGAGTTACCATTCATAATTCACCAGGGGATATAACACCTCCCCTTTTTGAGAAATCCGGAGTTGACATCCGGATTTTTAATTTCTCGAATTCATCCCCCCCCCACGAAAGACTGTTGGATCCTCATGAACCCAAGTTACCATTATTGTGACATTATTTAAAACATATTCGTCGTATTTAACTGAGAATCCACGAGAACTTATTAGATCGTGAGGATCGACTACATTCGATTTGAGGTCACCAGCGTCTGATTCTTCTGAAACAGTTTCCTTGAATTTACTCGGAACCTCATTAGTAAATAATGAATCATTAGGATAATCAGTATCTATGAAAGTTGTATTGGATTCTTGATTATCATTTAATGCATCCGATATTTTTCTCCCATTTTTATAAGAGATTTGAACTGGAACATATGAATCAGCAAAATAATCGGGATCTGGCAGAACAATTAGATAATCTTGATCATTAGATTCATAAAAAAACTTTTTTGCATCATGACTGGTTTGATTTGGCGCCACTGTATTCAATATACTGCCCGATTTGTTCCCCGTTTCTTCGTGGGCGGGTACTACAGTAATTTTATGAGCATTTAGCAAAACATTGTCTTTCTGTAAACAGGTTGATCCACTGTTTGCACGTCCGTTTTCGGGGTTAATAGGACTTGGACCGTGTATAGGGCATGTCTCTGAAACAGGCAGCACCGGACTACTGGGCTGATCATGTAGGACTGTTACTGCTGCATCTAAATTACTGTTTTTCGCGGATTCATAGAGGCTTTCCTCTGCATATTCATTTGTTCTGTAATCGGCTTCCAGTTCCGTACGCAATTTAGAAATCAATGCGTCAACTTCCGTTGCACCCCCAAAGCATGGGTGATTCAGCAGCGTCGCGTGTAACTTGTCAATGAAATCCAACTGACTCTTTTTAAAACGCTGCTCTTGTGTCTGAATTAGCAACTGAAATTGATCGGAAGTTAAAGTCATTTTTTTTACCCCGTCGTCAGTTGTTATATCGTATGGACTCGTAATATATATGAACGTGCAATTAGAGAGGAGTGGATTTTACTGATCGGATGCAAATGATACTTGAAATACGTACGAGCAGTCTTGGGTGCTATTCGGTCCTTCCTATCTGCCTAGCCCAGCCCGTTAAGTCCAGAACACAAATAACAGCCTCGGCAATATGAATCATTATTTACAAACACACTGGGTTTTTATACAAACCAAAGTAATCAATAAACTGATTATAACTCAAGAATCGTATGATCATAAATCAAAGATCAAAATAAAGCTAATGATAAGAGAAACACGAATATGAATAGTTTAGTTACGTAATAATTGTATAATAGGAAATAGGCATAATACATTGGTCGATAAATAGTCCTTAGAGTTACCATTCATAATTCACCAGGGGATATAACACCTCCCCTTTTTGAGAAATCCGGAGTTGACATCCGGATTTTTAATTTCTCGAATTCATCCCCCCCCACGAAAGACTGTTGGATCCTCATGAACCCAAGTTACCATTATTGTGACATTATTTAAAACATATTCGTCGTATTTAACTGAGAATCCACGAGAACTTATTAGATCGTGAGGATCGACTACATTCGATTTGAGGTCACCAGCGTCTGATTCTTCTGAAACAGTTTCCTTGAATTTACTCGGAACCTCATTAGTAAATAATGAATCATTAGGATAATCAGTATCTATGAAAGTTGTATTGGATTCTTGATTATCATTTAATGCATCCGATATTTTTCTCCCATTTTTATAAGAGATTTGAACTGGAACATATGAATCAGCAAAATAATCGGGATCTGGCAGAACAATTAGATAATCTTGATCATTAGATTCATAAAAAAACTTTTTTGCATCATGACTGGTTTGATTTGGCGCCACTGTATTCAATATACTGCCCGATTTGTTCCCCGTTTCTTCGTGGGCGGGTACTACAGTAATTTTATGAGCATTTAGCAAAACATTGTCTTTCTGTAAACAGGTTGATCCACTGTTTGCACGTCCGTTTTCGGGGTTAATAGGACTTGGACCGTGTATAGGGCATGTCTCTGAAACAGGCAGCACCGGACTACTGGGCTGATCATGTAGGACTGTTACTGCTGCATCTAAATTACTGTTTTTCGCGGATTCATAGAGGCTTTCCTCTGCATATTCATTTGTTCTGTAATCGGCTTCCAGTTCCGTACGCAATTTAGAAATCAATGCGTCAACTTCCGTTGCACCCCCAAAGCATGGGTGATTCAGCAGCGTCGCGTGTAACTTGTCAATGAAATCCAACTGACTCTTTTTAAAACGCTGCTCTTGTGTCTGAATTAGCAACTGAAATTGATCGGAAGTTAAAGTCATTTTTTTTACCCCGTCGTCAGTTGTTATATCGTATGGACTCGTAATATATATGAACGTGCAATTAGAGAGGAGTGGATTTTACTGATCGGATGCAAATGATACTTGAAATACGTACGAGCAGTCTTGGGTGCTATTCGGTCCTTCCTATCTGCCTAGCCCAGCCCGTTAAGTCCAGAACACAAATAACAGCCTCGGCAATATGAATCATTATTTACAAACACACTGGGTTTTTATACAAACCAAAGTAATCAATAAACTGATTATAACTCAAGAATCGTATGATCATAAATCAAAGATCAAAATAAAGCTAATGATAAGAGAAACACAAATATGAATAGTTTAGTTACGTAATAATTGTATAATAGGAAATAGGCATAATACATTGGTCGATAAATAGTCCTTAGAGTTACCATTCATAATTCACCAGGGGATATAACACCTCCCCTTTTTGAGAAATCCGGAGTTGACATCCGGATTTTTAATTTCTCGAATTCATCCCCCCCCACGAAAGACTGTTGGATCCTCATGAACCCAAGTTACCATTATTGTGACATTATTTAAAACATATTCGTCGTATTTAACTGAGAATCCACGAGAACTTATTAGATCGTGAGGATCGACTACATTCGATTTGAGGTCACCAGCGTCTGATTCTTCTGAAACAGTTTCCTTGAATTTACTCGGAACCTCATTAGTAAATAATGAATCATTAGGATAATCAGTATCTATGAAAGTTGTATTGGATTCTTGATTATCATTTAATGCATCCGATATTTTTCTCCCATTTTTATAAGAGATTTGAACTGGAACATATGAATCAGCAAAATAATCGGGATCTGGCAGAACAATTAGATAATCTTGATCATTAGATTCATAAAAAAACTTTTTTGCATCATGACTGGTTTGATTTGGCGCCACTGTATTCAATATACTGCCCGATTTGTTCCCCGTTTCTTCGTGGGCGGGTACTACAGTAATTTTATGAGCATTTAGCAAAACATTGTCTTTCTGTAAACAGGTTGATCCACTGTTTGCACGTCCGTTTTCGGGGTTAATAGGACTTGGACCGTGTATAGGGCATGTCTCTGAAACAGGCAGCACCGGACTACTGGGCTGATCATGTAGGACTGTTACTGCTGCATCTAAATTACTGTTTTTCGCGGATTCATAGAGGCTTTCCTCTGCATATTCATTTGTTCTGTAATCGGCTTCCAGTTCCGTACGCAATTTAGAAATCAATGCGTCAACTTCCGTTGCACCCCCAAAGCATGGGTGATTCAGCAGCGTCGCGTGTAACTTGTCAATGAAATCCAACTGACTCTTTTTAAAACGCTGCTCTTGTGTCTGAATTAGCAACTGAAATTGATCGGAAGTTAAAGTCATTTTTTTTACCCCGTCGTCAGTTGTTATATCGTATGGACTCGTAATATATATGAACGTGCAATTAGAGAGGAGTGGATTTTACTGATCGGATGCAAATGATACTTGAAATACGTACGAGCAGTCTTGGGTGCTATTCGGTCCTTCCTATCTGCCTAGCCCAGCCCGTTAAGTCCAGAACACAAATAACAGCCTCGGCAATATGAATCATTATTTACAAACACACTGGGTTTTTATACAAACCAAAGTAATCAATAAACTGATTATAACTCAAGAATCGTATGATCATAAATCAAAGATCAAAATAAAGCTAATGATAAGAGAAACACGAATATGAATAGTTTAGTTACGTAATAATTGTATAATAGGAAATAGGCATAATACATTGGTCGATAAATAGTCCTTAGAGTTACCATTCATAATTCACCAGGGGATATAACAGTTTGGAATCAGGGTTTTCCAACTCTCCTAGGTGGACTTTCCGTGTCCACCAACCCATTTAAAGCACCGGACATTCGCTTTTCGTCCTCTCAATTTCGTAGACAACATCCATGGTGCGAGAAGGCAGTGAGTAGGACTTCTCTGGCAGAGGCTGTATACGCGTGACCGTGTGAGAGCATTTCGAGAGAGAGAGGGCAGGCCCTCCCCACTCACGGCTGTACCAGGGCATTTGGGGGCCCTAGTGCGATGGCGTTTGATGCGAATGGTAATGCGTTTGAATCCCAAAGTGGTTGTCAACTCTGGGATGCAGGTACAGCCAGCTGACAAGTCTTAAATATGATGAAACACACATCCTGTATTCCACTCTTACCCACCATCCTTCTTTGCTTATAATGCTTGTGATTTAAGACAATATCGAGGCAATCTGCACAGGATGAGCATATTTCAATAAGAGACTGATCACTTGTAGTCTTAAACATCAATAGGAAGATTCAAACAAACAATACAAAAGATATTAAGTTTTGATTAGATTAAAAGATTACTGAAAAAGGCATAACTCTAAACAATATCACGATGCTTGAATACTCTGTAGACCTAAATCAATAAAATTACAGTATAGATAGTTTCAGTAATTTAGTCTCATTTTTTTTTAGATCCACTACTGTAAATAGTTATGAATGAGTTAATGATTGCGTAATCACTTGTTGTTGTTGTGTTTTTATGACTGTAAATTAAGATTGACATATTGAATTCATTTGTATCCCACAAGATTCATAACATTTGATAAGTTAAGGTTTGTTTACAAGTGGAATAAGTTTAGTGAAGCAAATAAAATTACGTAAGTACTCATTCTTAATTTCAGAAAAAACAGTTACGTAACCCTTGATGAAACGTATATTAACATTCAGTTGTTTATAAAGTCACTTTACAAGCATTTCATATCACTGTATTGGATATTATCAAAGTGCATCGTATAAAACTTCTCAACCTCGCGTAATCATGCATATCTTTCTAGGGGTTGAACTCATTACATTTAAGTCATGTAGCGACGAATTTACTGTATAACCAGTAGGTCGGTAGTCAATGGTTCATATTCCCAACTACAGTCAATTAGTGATATTTCACGTGATCACTATCAATCTCTATTACGACAAATTTTACTGTTCTAACATCATGTGGTTATGAACATTCTATTTGTTAATATGAGTTGTGAGATTGTTGAGTTTAAATTGATATAATGAATGGATCAATGTTAGATCACCATTGAAAACTGGAAGCATTGGACGGTCGTCTCACCCTAATATGGGACTCCTTAACAGTGCGCATGCACGATCCCGCGCTTGAGGCTCGTACCCAGGACCTTTGGTCTCGCGCGCGAACGCTTAACCTGTGGATCACTGAGCCAGCATCCAACTGTGTAAATGTCTAACTTCAACCAATCCACGATATTGTGCGACCGTTCACTATTTTCTTCAGTCAGCAACAGCCTCACGATAGAGACCGAAGGTTTTGGCTTCGAGTTCCGCATCCAGGATAGTGGATTAGTACTGTTGAGTAGTCCTATACTAGAACAGAACGGCTGTTCAGTGCTTCTGGGTAGTCTATTCTTGTCAATGTATAATATTTAAATAGAAAAATACTAGTGTTTTCATACACGTTTTTACTGATGCATATTTGTTCAGTCTACATGTTTAAATAAAGTTTTTTGGAGTCATTCATTCCTGATATCCACATACTACACAAGTCAGTCATGTGCAACGGAGAACCTATCAGATAATTCCATCAGTTCAAATTAACATTCGACGTTAGCACAGTGAGAAAAAAATATCGAGATAAATAACAAGGCAAATTAAATTAGTTGAAAAGATTAAACGTGGATGATATGATTCGGCGGGGCGGGGCGAATGATTTCATCAAATTAAAGTACATGGAATGTGATCTGATATTGTTCAAACTACCATGTTCCTATATGAATTCATTATTTATGATAGGGTACTTTGGTTGAGCTTTTTTAAAAACTGATTTAAGCCTTTGTTTCAATAAAAGGCTATTTGAATCACCTCTAAACGCTAAGGTGATGTACACAGGCTTTTTTATATCAAGGCTCTTCAAAACCTCGCCAGTCTTTCATGCGAAGAGGAGAAGAACTACTAGTTTCCTTTACTACTTGTAAGTAGATATGAGGACACAAGTGAGCCATCTATGTCGATCGATAGCATTCGATCAGAACTAAGAAGGACTTGACACGAATGACATTGATCACTACCCAGTGATCAATTAATTGTGATTACATCTCAGTCCTACAGGAGGTTGGTCGCGGCCCGAATAGCTCAGTGGTAGCGTCTCTGGCTGTGAAGGTGAGTGACACGGGATCGAATCCGTCAGGGAGCACACGTATCCTCAAGTATACAGGTACACCTTGCTGACGAGTTCCAAGTAGCACGACACCCGGGTCCAGGGTTTCCTGTTGACCGCCTCCAACCATCATCTTATCTCAACATAGTGCACGCAGTATCGAGCCACCTAGACTGGTGGCTACATTACAACTTGATCGATAGCATTCGATCAGCACTAAGGAGAACTTGACACGCATGAGATTGATCGCTACCCAGTGATCAATCAATTTTGGTCTATGTTTTACTCTCTGATCATCAATAGTTTTTCAAGTAACTTTAATTAACGATGAAAATTACTGTTTTCATATATTTTTGTATAGAAGTGAATCCCCTAGACGTTTATCATCAATTTATTTAAAGTTTACTGTCTTCTGTACATATTTTTTTACTCTCATTTTGTAGGTAAATCCACGTGAAGCAGTTGCTTGTGTAGTACATGGTTCTGATTTACGTGAAATGACCCCAGCACAAATTGATGATATATTAGTTAATCATCCAGAAATTGTATTTGCACGTACTAGTCCACAACAAAAGCTAATCATAGTGGAAGGTTGTCAACGTCAAGGCGCAATTGTTGCTGTAACTGGTGATGGTGTTAATGATAGTCCAGCTTTAAAACAAGCTGATATTGGTAAGTAAAAGTGAATCAGCAAACCAACAGTATGGGGTCATAAAGAGTGTTAAGTTTCTTATTGAAACCATCAATCGATCAATGTTAGACCACCATTGAAAAACTGAACATACTGGTTGGCCGTTTCGTCCTCCTCAACGCGCGAGACGGATGGTCCTGAGTTTGAGTCCCACTTAAGGGGTTTCAAATGCGCATAGTTGATGAAACGGCCGTTCAATACTTCCAGGTTTTCAATGGTGGTCTAATACTGATCGATTCATGACCTCAATCAAAAAATCATTAAACATTCTATCGAAATATTCATACAGTCCATCAATTCACTTTTTTCTCTGAACAAACTAACAGAATTTACTTGTAAATTGTATTTATCATGGTCAGGGTTTTACTGAAAACCACGGAACACTGGTTAGCTATTCATTGAGAAATTTAAAGTTCTTAAGTTCAAGCTCTTGCCAGTCGTAAGCGTTTACAACAGAGATATCTTATACTACAACAAAGAAATCTATCTAGTACTCCTTGGTGTTTAGTACCATAACTCAGTTGACATCAATTTGTATCAAATAAAACTCCAAAAAATTTGTCAATATCTCTGACTCAGAAGGGATTTTGTGGAGATTTCAGTAGTTTCATAGTTGAAGTCATGAGTCATTTGAAGCTAGCCCACCAAGGAAAACCTGGAAGGACTGGACGGCTGTTTCTTCCTATTATGGAACTTCTCACTGGCAGTGCGCATCCACGATCCCGCCTCGCGAGCGAGATTCTAACCCAGGACCTATCGGTCTCGCACGCGAGTGCTTAACCTCTAAACCACTGAGCCGGCATCCAGTGGTGTTAATGTCTAACTTCAACCAATCCACGAAGTTGAGCATCCATTCACTAATGTCTTCAGTATGTTGATATCTCTCAACAGACCTGCTGAACTCCACTGATTACTGATTCTTACTAGAATTCCAGGAAATACATCATGAAGCCAGTCACTAATGAGCATATGATAATTATTCGAGTGGGGTTTTGTGGAGATTTTAGTAATTTTATATAGTTGAAATCATAAGGCAATTGAAGCTAGAACACCATGGAAAATTTGGAAACACCGGATAGCCGTTTCGTCCTATTGTGGGACTCCTCAGTGGCAGTGGGCGTCCATGATCCCGCTTCACAAGATTCGAGGAGTCTAGCTTCAATTGACTCATGTTCTCTACTATATAAAGAAATTACCAAAATCTCCACAACCCCCCCCCCTCCTTCGGCTAAATAGTTGTTTATCTGAAATAGAATAAGTTTCAAAGAAAATAAACTTAGATCTTCATCTAAACAAGAAGTAAACTCAAGCATTTTGTAAAGATAATCTTATGTAATATAAATCATGTGATTAAATAGCTACTTAACTTAAATACATACAAGTGTGATTACTATTATTACTATTATTATTGTTATTATGAATACTTAATCTTATTATTATAAATACCGAATAATAATAATAATAATAATAATAATAATAATAATAATAATAATAATAATAATAGTATCCACACGTATATTTATGAATGTTGTCTCTGTTCTTGGTAACTAATTAAGAATTTTATTAAGATCATCATTTATGGACGATCTTTTAGTGCCAGTCAGTCAGTCAACTACAACGTAGGATCAGGCACATATATGTATCGGTCCAAGTTGTCATACCTCGTTAGCACAACAAGACGAATACCGGATTCATAGAAGTAGTTAATTTAACGGTGGTATTATATATGAGAGAAAGGTTGTATATAAAGATATAGTATGGGAAAGAAGACAGATATGAAGCAATTTTAATCTCATGATTTAAGAGAATACAAATAGTGTATACACCCACACTATTGTGATCGATTCTGAGCCATGTCACACACAGTCTCCAACCATTGGTTACGATAGTATTGTGCACCCCAACCAGGTAGTCTGCATCTACCAACATGACTCAGACTAGAAGTTAGTAACTTCAAGCTCTGATGCCACGTTTTTGTTTGGCCGCCCCTCACTCTCTTCCAACCATCCCCAATACTAGTCAGCATAGCGCGTCGTGGTAATCGGTGTTCAGGCATACGTAACACGTGGCCTAACCATCTCAGTCGATGATGATTCATGACCTCATCAACTGATTTACCATCATTGCCTAATACCCTGTGTCTAATCTCACTATTACTTACCCGGTGATCCCAGCAGATGCGAGCAATATTTCTAAGGCATCTGTGATCAAATACTAGTAACTTACGAGTATCTTTTAGTGATATTAAAATGATTTTGCAACAGTTCACCTATTTATTAGATTGAAAAGAGGGTTATAAATTGTTATAAGGAATTTAGAGTTAGAATTTATAATTAGATATTAGTATACAAGTTTTCACCATGGATGGATATCAGCTGTAATGCCAAAATTCAGAACTTGCTAACCTTAATTTATTGTTTCATCTATAAGTTGAGGTTTCAACAAAAGCTCCTCAGAGAAAGTTGTCGGAACTCAGGAGACTATTGAAAATATTTTGATGAATCAATGTTCTTTGAAAAATTTCAAGATAAATCTTGAAAATTATAAATTCAGCTTTCATTATCCTGATTGAATCATTAATGATTTTTTTTAACACTATTCAACGTCCCATTTCTGTCAAATTGTTCGTTTAAATATTAACGAATTGTTATTTTTATCAGAAAGGGTTTTGTGGAGATTTAGTATTTTCATAGTTGAAAGCGTGAGTCAATCGGTTAAGTGCTCTGGCGCGAGACTGCTAAGTTCTGGGTTCGAGTCTCGCGAGTGCGGGATCGTGGATGCCCACTGCCACTGAGGAGTCCTGTACTAGGACGAAACGGCTGTCTAGTGCTTCCAGGTTTTCCATGGTGGTCTGGCTTCAATTGACTCAGGATTTCAACTATGAGAATTGTTATTTCCTGAAGTAAATGATGAATGGTAACTTTTGAGAACTTTGTGGAACAATACGATATGCGTATTTCTTATTGTATAATTGTTACGTAACTTTACTATTCATATTAAGGTCCCTTTTATTATAAGCTTTATTTTGACCCATAGACTGTCACTATACAGTTTGCCGTTCTTGAGTTATGCCCCAGTCTATTAATTACTGTTCACCACACTCACAGACACATTTGACCGAATCTTTTGCAAATGTTATTTTCTATTTTACGGTACGATATGGTCTGTCTGGTTGGTATATAACCCCGGTATGTTTGAGAATAATGATTCATATTGCAAAAGCTGTAATTGCTGTTTTGGACTTAACTGGCTAGGCTAGGTAGATAGCAGGACCGACAAGTACTCTAGACTGCTCGTACGGGTTTCGTGTGTTATTGGCCCGATCAATGAATCACTGCCCCCTCATTGGCGAGCTTATTACGTCATATATTAACTGGGCACTCAGGCCACAAGATATAACATGAATATTCGTAAAGATTTTTTCAACAGTCTTATTATGGTTTACAGAAACTTCTTCATTGTCAAGATCATATATTATCTGATAAATAATCTTATTTTTGGTGCATGAACTAACCTTAAAATCAAAGCTTCTTCACAAAGTTTCATATTTTCTGTCTTTCTGATGTAACAGTGAAAGAAATAGATTACTTGAATCGTTTTGGAACCTGTGTGATGAAGCCATAGTTGTAAGAACAATTGTATGATCTTATAAGCAAAGATTGATAGTGGCTGACAGTGGAAACCAGGACGCATGTCCCGTCTTATTTTAGACTCGTCAGCTGGATGTACCTGCATCTCAGAGTTGATATTCACTCTAGGACTCGAACTCAGTACTTTTAGCTTCAAACGCCATCGCACTCTCCACTCGGCTACTGAGTCCTGATAGCCACTTGCTATATCGAGGCAATACGCACAGTATACACATATGCCAATAAGAGACTGATCAATTGCAGTACATAACATCGATGGAAAGATTCTAACAAACAATACCAAGCGAATTGTATGATCTATTTCGAGTATTAATTATTTCACTTACACTGTCTAAGTAGAGTCAATGACGTTCTGCTGACCAGTGGCACAATGATCTTCAAACCAGTGACTCATTAACAATGAGATAAATGATCTAGAACAATATTTGATGTCTATTAGTCCAGGAATTCAATTTCCATCGATCTCTTGACTTACAATCCGAATAAAAGAACAAAACTCCTATTTGTACTGTACAATCCCAAGTTCAAAACTTCTGTAATAATATGGATTAACTACCTGATTGTACAACACCATAAATGAGAAAATACAACGTACCTATCACTATATTCTAAGTGAAGAAGAACTAATCATTAGGTCCATAATAAATTAACAGTAACTTAAATAGGGCTTAGCACAATTAAAACTTTATGCAACAAAAAATGACTTACCATTAGGTGAATACAAAGTCACAATCATTCAGATGTCTATCAATTATATAATTAGAATATAAACAATAATTTCATGTAGAATAGACTTGAAAGTTGAATGTTGTTCAGTATTTGCCTTGTTCTAGCACTTTCTTTCCAAGGATCAAGAAGTAAGAAATCTTGTGAAACTAGGCAATGGCTTTTAATCACTATCAATATTTTAAGTTATACTTCTAATCCAATTATCTCCTTATATGACCATATTCAGAATAAGATACTATAAATATCTTCATGTATATTAAATTGTTACCGGCCGTGTAAAATTTTTCTCTTCATAATCCTCTTAATAGTCCTATTGGGATATCTGATGACTTACATCTTTAAATGTGTTTCAATATTAATTTAGAAATGACAATCAGGAAACAATAAGACAACTAAATATGAAGGTGAGGGAACATAAACTTGACTCAAAACATATTCCTAAATTCTTAGATGATATTTAAGAAAAAAAGCCACAAAAACAAACCAGCGATAGTATTACATTTAATAGAGTCGAGTCATACAATTGATTACAATGGCACAAGAATCCTTCATAAAGGTTTGACTAACAGTCAAAGTTCTACATATATGGGCAAATCCAAATAGTATTGATAGGAGAGATGAGATACAATTAGCTGTTCCATGGCAACTATTATTTAATACGTAAACCTGAACTTCTTATTCCATTTAATATATCACTTATTATCTGAATAACAACAATTTCATTCAACTGTTCCAATCAGTTGTCTTATCTGAATATAATAAACAATTAACTGGACAAAGCAAAAATAACACGAACATTCATTCCTTCACTTGGTAATGTTTGTTTGAATCTTCCCTTTGATGTTTACGACTGAAATTGATCAGTCTCTTATTGTTATATGTGCATACTGTGCGTATTGCCTTGATATAGCCTTAATTCACAAGTATTATAAGCAAAGACGGATAGTGGCTGGCAGTGGAATCGTTCTATTTGGGACTCGTCAGCTAGATTTACCTGCATCTCAGAGTTGATGTTCACTCTGCAACTCGAACCCAGTACCTAAACATTTTTGCAACGGGTTGAAGTTTAAATTCACTTGGTAATGTTTATTTGAATCTTCCCATTGCACAAGCAAGTGGCTATCGAGACTCAATAGCTGAGTGGATAACGCGATGGCGTTTGAAGCGAAAGTTACTGGATTCGAGTTTCAGAGTGAACGTCAACTCTGAGATGCAGGTGCATCCAGCTGATGAGTCCCAAATAGGACGAAACGAGCGTCCTGGATTCCACTGCTAGCCACTATCCATCTTGGTTTATTCATTCCTTCATGTTTATTTTGTTCATTTATTTTCATTTTATGCCTGTTGTGACATATTTGACTCATATTACATACAAAAAAGTAATGTTTTTCTTTAGAAATTAACTAATCAGAGGTGATAAATATTCAGTGAAATTTCTTCATACACCTCAGATCCACTTATTAATGAAAACAATCTTTTATCGTAATACACTTTTCGTTTAACGCTACATGTGTCTTACACACTTAAGCAAATACCTACTTTAAAGATTGTTAATGTTGAATGGATAAACTATTTGGTATACAAAGATGGATAGTGGCTAGCAGTGGAATCTAGGATGCGCGTTTCGTCCTACTTGTGACTCGTCGGCTGTATGTACCTGCATCTCAGACTTGATGTTCAAACTGGGACTCGAGGCAATACGCTCAGTATACACATATGCCAATAAGAGACTGATCAATCGCAGTCCTAAATATCAATGGGAAGATTCAAACAAACAATATCAAGTGTATTTGGTATACAATTAACAGAAGACCCATGTTCTTATTTATATACGATCATCTTGATACTTGATTATATTTCCTTGAATAAGCTTGGACCCAGATTGCCAAGCGAAATGTCACATTGAGTTATGTGTTTGCATAATAATTGAATATGCAAACGTCTCATTGTCAAGCCAAATATTCCATTCAATACAATAAACGAAATATTTTTGTAAAATCACTCTGTATCCCCCTATTTCTTTCTTTCTTTCTTCTTTTTTTTCTTTGACAAGGTGTTGCTATGGGTATAGCCGGTAGTGATGTGAGTAAACAAGCAGCTGATATGATTTTATTAGATGATAATTTTGCTTCAATTGTTACAGGAGTTGAAGAAGGTCGTCTTATATTTGATAATTTAAAAAAATCAATTGCTTATACATTAACATCGAATATTCCAGAGATAACACCATTTCTAGTATATATTGGATTTGGTCTACCATTACCATTAGGTACAATTACAATACTTTGTATTGATTTAGGTACTGATATGGTAAGTAATATTCTATTTCATGACAATATATATAATTGATTGCCTTTAAGTTACTTCAGGAGTTTTATGGTTACTGTAAAAGTGTTCCTCACTGATAACCAAAAAACCAACTGATAGCTGTGGCTATTCACGACAGTCAAATTTGAAGTCTTAAATCACTGACTGACAATTAATCTCAACAATTTTCTAGAGAAAATCAATTTATGATGTAAAAGTTTAGGCTAAACAATTTCCAAAAGTCTCCATAGTAACAACCATCTCTTGAGTGCTACTGACTAACTTAGGGGTCAACTCAGAAGCTATAATCAACAAAATTTAACCATGTAGAGTATGAAAAAAATATCATGTCAGACAGTTAGTGATGTCTTTCCAATTTCACGAGTTCTATGGACTTAGAAATGTAAACCGTTGAGTAATAACTTATTTTCTTGGAGGTCAAGTTTTCTGAGGTCGACTCCAAGATGGGTAGTGGATATACACTGCTTAAGAGTCCCATACTAGAATAAAATAGCTGCTCAGTGCTTTCTTATTTTTGGTAGTTGTCTAATCGAAGTATTCATATAAAAGATGCAATTATCAATATATCCGTTGAGCGCTAACTACTGAGCTGTGATAATATTGTCCTGTAACAGTTAAGGATGGAAGTGGATAGGACATACATTGAGGAAATCACCAATGTGCATTACAAGGCAATCCCTAACTTGGAATCCGGAAGGGAAGCGGAAAAGAGGAAGGTCAAAGAACACATTACGGCGGGAAATAGAAGCAGATATGAAAAGGAGGAATAACAACTGGAAAGAAATGGAAAGGAAGACTCAGGACAGAGTTGGATGGAGAATGCTGTTGAGCGGCTTATGCTCCTCGACGAGGGGTAACAGGCGTAAGTAAGTAAGTAACAGTTAGGGAATGATATAAGGTGGTTAGATTATAGTCTACTTTATTTGGTTTCACTTAACTACTGAGATAATTTAACATTCAAAACAGTAACTTTTTTAAAAACCTTTTTCCCATAGATTCCAGCAATTTCATTAGCTTATGAAGAAGCTGAATCTGATATTATGAAACGTATGCCACGTGATCCATTACATGATCGTTTAGTAAATGAACGTTTAATTGCTATGGCATATGGTCAAATTGGTATGATACAAGCACTTGGTGGTTTTTTTGTTTATTTTGTTATTATGGCTGAAAATGGTTTTTGGCCAAGAAGATTACTTGGTATACGTAAAGAATGGGATTCTCGAGCTGTGGATGCATTAAGTGATTCATATGGTCAAGAATGGGTAAATAATATTCTTTTGTTTTTTATTGTAAATTGATATTTTTTAAGTAAAAGTGTACTTTTAGCTAGAATAACATGTTATATAGTTGAAATCATTAGTCAATTGAAGCTAGACCACAATGAAAATCCTGGAAGCACTGGACGGCTGCTGAGGAGTCCCACAATAGGACGAAACGGCCGTCCAGTGCTTCCAGGTGGTCTAGCTTCGATTGACTCATGATTTCAACTATATAAAATTACTAAAACCTCCACAAAACCCCCTTCTTATAGTAACATGTAATCAGTCAGTCACTTCGTAATAATTCGGTATCTAACATGAACGCATATTAGTTTAAATTGTTTCAAAAGTCAAATCACCACAAGTAGAGAGAGAGAGAATGATGAGATTTTAAAGATGAAGAGTAAAGAAAGGAAAGTAATTTTAACCACTGTAGTACCCTGATAATATGAGATGAAATCAAAAAATAGAAGAGTGAGAAATGACATTTAACTTAGGATTGAAAGAAAGAAAACTAAGTGCAGCTAACCCGAAGAGTGATTTTGTCTCATATCGCTCAACATCTCTAACGATTGACTGTAAAGACAACTTGGTTCACAACCAGGTAGTCTGCTCTATCTGGTATACTTCAAATTATTAATGAGAGACTTTATAAATTGATACACCGTTTTGATAGCTTCTTGTGATAGCTTCTTCTCAGTAAATCAATATATCAGTCAGCACTATATATCTGGGTTAACTTTGGTAGTTATACAAATTAAGTGTCTAAACACTTCAATGAAATGGACGACGTTTTGCTCGAAAATGTGGACTGATTGGAGTTTGAAATTAACACTGTTTAATATCTGCTCATTAGTCTATAGCTTTAGCGTTTGCGTATATCAATAATAATAAACTGTTGACATTGAATAACATTAATAGGTAACCAATATATTTGTTTTTCTTATTACCCTATATTTCAAGGATAACAGAATACTACGTTTGACCAGTGACTGACAAATACATTTGTCGTCGAAATTATGCATCTTCATAAATTCCTTATAATACAATTACGAAGATAACACTTCCAAGTTTTCAATGATGGTCTAGCTTAGATTGATTCATGAATTCAACTTTAAATATACTTGAATCTTCACAAATCCCCATTTTAAGAATACTTTACGCTGATTGGTTCAACAATAAAATAAAATGTCCAATCAGATTATTCAGACTATATGGCAATATGAATTAAAATCTAGAATAAAAACAACCATTTATCTCATTAACTTACAGATTAATATGTTGATGTCTAACTAATTCACTGATTATCAATTATTATAACATGGAAACCTGACCTAGGGACTAGTCTTCTTTGTTTACTTAATTATTATAATCACTTTAAACAGGAAAATATGGGTATGGTTAAAGTATAAAAGCTAGTTGAAAACCACTAGAGATGAGTTTTTTGCTGGTTGTTAAACAATCAGAAAACAGAATTTAACGAGATTATAATGAATGGATGACCCAATCTGATATAAGATAACAGGTCTTGGATTTTGGTGCTAAATTCATTTATCCATTTGATTAAAGAACGTTTTGACATTTTAACTGATATCAGTCCATGATGAAAACCTTAAATCTAATTCCTAACCCTAATTATCTACTGTGAATCACAATCCTAATTCCTTACGCTGGTTTATAACCTTCATTTCACACTAGTTATTAGGTGGGTATTTTCAATGTCACTTTGGTTTCGCTCATAAGTCGTACATAAATTACAGTCTCACCAATAAATCTATTAAGGTCTTCTATGAATTGTCGTTTCAGGGGATGGAATCGATCTTCGAGTTGTTCATTATCTACATTAGAAAGAATATTAGATTTTATTCAACTAACATTATTATTTTTTACTCCTTATACAATGATATTAATAATGTTCTTTTTACATAATATAACATGATTGCTACCCATTTTAGATTTTTTTCTGGAATAAAGAATATGTCGCGCTCTTAATTCTGATTGACATATCCTTACACTATACTTTCATCAGTAAGGGGTTGTGGAGATTGTTAAGTTTTGATTGAGATCATAAAACGATCACCATTAAAAAACCTGGAAGCACTGAACGGCCGTCTCGTCCTCAGCAGCGCGCATCCATGATTTTACACGCGGGACTCGAACCGATAATCTTCGATCTCGCGCGTGAAAGCTTAACCTTCAAACCACAAAGTTGGAATTCTTAAACAATAAAAGTAAACGAATTATAGTCCTTTCATTGGTCCTCAATCAATTCAAAGTTTATTCTTGAATAGAAACATGATATCTTGAACCAGCAACGAATCGATCGACGGGAGCGGAAAACATCTTCCCCTGTGATTGAAGTGCAAAACGTGTAGAATGATAAATCTTGACAGGTAGACTATTCAGTCTAAATGATGTGAACTAATTGTTAGAACTATGAGTGGCACACACAAATTTTATGAATGTAACAATTTATTTAAACACATAAATATTGGTACAAGGAGACACCAGATATATACACGCCTCACAAATCTTATTTCATTTGTGTGAGGGCTGTGATAATGCCCAGATGCCCAAACTGAATCTGTTGGTTTTCTTAAGGGGCCACACCCGCAGCCTTTGACCTAAAAGTCTGATCCACAAGGCAGTGGAGCATCGTGAGGAGATGCAGTCCTATGGTAGCCGGTGACCAACGATTGATTCATACGCCATTTGTTTTCTCAGGATACTGGAGTCCATGTACACCATTGGTTTGGAATCAGAGTTTTCCAACTCCCCTAGATGGACTCGCCGTGTCCAACAATGAATGTAACGATACCTGACAGTTATATTATTTAATGAATCGTTCTATTTGTATGTCATCTTATCGGTTTTTTTCTGTTTTCCTCTTTCTTTCCCTCTCTCTTCTTACAGACTTATAAACAACGTAAACGTTTAGAGTCCACATGTCAAACTGCCTTTTTTGCCTCTATTGTAATTGTACAATGGGCTGATTTAATTATTTGTAAAACACGTCGTAATTCAGTAATTCAACAAGGAATGTGGAATAAATATTTAAATTTTGCTTTATTCTTTGAAACTGCATTGGCTATCTTCTTATCATATTGTCCTGGTTTAGATAAAGGTCTACGTATGATGCCCTTAAGGTAATTGTATTACATTTGTAAATGTTAACCTTTTTCCCCTTGACGTGCAATGAAGAAGAGTTGTAAGAGACTGAAATCTAATTGGTTGTATTGGTTTACCTTAATGATGTTTCAAATTTTAATAGTGATTAGTCTTGCTGATTGAACGCTATACTCGGTTCCTAAGCAAGTCTCGTAACCCCCCAAGCTAGAATTACACTGCGACTCGAACTCGAGAGAAAGGGCGCGAAATATACGAGAAACACTTTCCTCCAAAGGTCCATTTATGTACAGAAAATATAGGATTTTTATAGTATTTTAGAAGTCCTTGGGTTTTTCTGTAAATTCTAGAATGCTACTAAACATAGTAGCAGTGTAATAATCAACCAATCAGAAACTCAATATGTAACTTTTCATTTTCGTGATGTTTCTAGCGAAACGTTCAGTCAAACGCTGATTGGATAAAATGCTCCTTAATGTTTCCTGAGCTTGTCATGTCTATCTCGAGAAATTTGCAGAATCGCCCCCCAACAAATAAGCCAATATTTCAATGCATCTCAACTTAAACAATAAACTAATGAATAACTATGTAAGCCAGAATTTCTCCCACCACCACCACCTCTACTACTACTACTACTACTACTACTACTACTACTACTACTACTACTACTACTACTACTACTACTACTACTACTACTACTACTACTACTACTACTACTACTACTACTAGGAGTGTGTGTAGTAGTAGAATAATAAAAAAGGCCTATTTGATTTTGATAAGTCTTACAACTGAACTTTAGATTTGGTTCCTAAGCTCTTCTGGTAACCCTCAGGCTAAATCTACACAGCAACTTGAATAAGAGAGAAAAAGGTGCGAAATATGGAAGAAAACGTTTAACTCCGAAGGTTCGTTCCAGTACAGGAAATCTAGAATTTTCATAGTAATTTAGATTCTTTGGGATTCCGGAAAATTTTGAAATGTTGCTAAACATAGTAATAGTAGTATAAGCAATCATCCAGTCAGAAACTCAATATGTGACTTTACACTTTCTAGATGTTTCTGGCAAAACTTCTAGTGAATAGTGATTAGTTAAGATGCTTCTCATTGTTTTCAGAGTCGTTTTTGGCTGTTTTTTCCGAGGAGTTTTCTGGATCTCCTCAACAGATTTGTTATAGAGAAAACTGTTATACAAAGAAGAGTCAACTATAAACACTGTCTATCAAGTGATTACTGACGGAAGAACAAATAGATATATTGAATTCGTTCAGTGTAAGAGATGAGTTCGAACTCATCAGTTGAAACATTCCATTGAAACATAATGACAAGCAGACAATGAATAATATTGAATTTCATCAAATATATGTTGCTACAACCTGTGGATGCCAATTGTTATAATTTACTGCCCACCAATTAGGATATAGTGAGTTATCAATACGACCAATGACACACAAAACCCGTATGAGCAATCTTGAGTACTTATCAGTCCTGCTATCTGCCTAGCTCAGCCAGTTAAGTCCAGAACACCAATAACAGCCTCTGTAATACGAATCCTTATTCTCAAACATACTGGGTTTATATACCAAACAAACAGACCACATCGTACCATGAAATAGAAAATAGCATTCATACAAAACAGCCCAAAGTGGCTTTGAATGTGGGAGGTAGTAATCAATAGACTGAGGATAACTCAAGAACGGTTAATCGTATAGTAATAGTTCATAGGTCAAAATAAAGCTTATAATAAGGGGGGACATGAATATGAATAGTTTAGCTACTTAACAATTATACAATTGGAAATAAAAATATCATGTTGGTCCATAAATAGTTCTCATAGTTACCATTCATAAATGTCCACGGCATATAATATATGTATATATTCAGAAGGGATTTGGTGGAGATTTCAGTATTTTCACAGTTGAAATTATCAGTCAATTGAAGATAGACCACCATGGAAAACCTAGAAGCACTGGACGGCCGTTTCGTCCTATTATGGGACTCCTCAGCAGTGCGCTTTCATGATCCCGCTTCACGAGATTTAAACTCAGGATCTACCAGTCTCGCGCCAGAGCACTTAACCGATAGACCGATAAACAATCTCACGAGGCGGGATCGTTTATGCACACTGCCACTGAGGAGTCCCATAATAGGACGAAACAGCCATCCAGTGCTTCCAGGTTTTCCATAGTAGTCTAGCTTCAATTGACTCATGATTTCAACTGTGAAATATATATATATATATATATATATATATATATAAGTTTTCCATTTTCATTTCTTTATGTATTTCCCTTATTAGATATACATGGTGGCTTCCAGCATTACCATTTTCTATACTTATATTTGTTTATGATGAAACAAGAAAATATTTAATTCGACGATTTCCTGGTTCATGGATAGAAAAAGAAACTTATTATTAGGGATGCTGTTGACAATAATACTACTAATACTACTCATAATAATTTGATACCTTTATTCATTATTAATATATACTTGTTACCAATGTAATGTAAACAATTAGATTCTCTATTATTTTATATATAAACATTAACCAGTATGATAGTTTATGATGCCTCAATCTTTTTTTTTTCACTCTTTCATCATTCCTCTTTCCTTGATGAAGTTATTCTTTGTATCTGTGGTTCTTGTTTTGATTTCTTCTTCTTCTACCCACCTAAGTCTCCTCTCCCTCTTTCTCTCGTTTTCCTTTCTCTTTATTCATTGAAATTATAATAGTGAATGTATGTATGTATGTAAGTATCCATTTAAATGTTAAGAATAATTGTATATGAAATAATAGAATATTCATAGTATGAAAGTCTTCTTTACAACCGATTATAATGAATGAATGTTACTCATGAGTAGTATCTAATTGTTATTATTACTTTTTTCTTATTGTTCAGTTCATTTCAATTCGGATTGTTTTCTCTTTTTTTTGTTTGTTTGTTTTGTTTGTTTCTCCCCCCCCCTCATATATTTCAAAAGCAAATTGTACTTTATATAGATGATATACAAAATAAATAGATATTTCTGTACTTGAATTTGTCTTGAGTTCATTCTGTTGAACAAATCCATTCTTTTTTTTTAATGATTACAATAACAAAATTGTTGGGGTGATCCAATCAGCATTGGATTAGAAGTTTTGCTAGAAACATCACGAAAATGATAAGTCAGATGTAGAGGTTCTGATTAGCTGATTACTACTGCATTGCTACTATGTTTAGTAGTATTCCACGGTTTTCAGGGGAAACTTAAGGATTTTTAAATTACTATAAAAACCCTATATTTTTTGTACATGAATAAAGATTTGAAGTAAAGTGTTTCTTGTATATTTCGCGCCCTTTCTCTCGAGTTCAAGTCGCTGTGTAGATTTAACTCGAGGTTTATGAGACTAGCTTAGGATCCGAGTATAGTGTTCGATCAACAAGACTTGTCAAAAAACTGAGTTACTTAGAGATTATAACAGAATTATATATGAGATGTTAATCTTTTAATAAAAGTTTAATATCTAGCATTTTACTGGCCACATTGTACGAAAGTCATTCATGTAAAAGAATGATTTTCATAATGGATTTCATTTTAAGCTCCAACTTTTATTATCTGTATATTTAATAGTTGAAATCACGAGTCAATTAAATCTCGGCCACTCTGGAAGCACTGGACGGCTATGTCGTGGCAGTGTGCATCCATGATCTCATCCCACAAAATTCGAACCCAGAACATATCGGTCTTGCGTAAGAACGCTTAACCTCTAGACCACTGAGCCGGCATCTAATGGCGTTAATGTCCAAATTCAGCCGTCCAATGCTTCCAGGTTCTCCATGGTGGTCTTACATTAATCGACTCATGAATTCTGCTATTGAATTACTAGTGTGGTGTGGGTTGCTGATATCCACATAAGTAGTATATAGTGATGGTCGGGCATTGAATGTATTTCAGTAGAAGATCGATGAGGAGAGAATGGGTGCGGCACGCGACTGGTACGAAAATGAATGGACAATTATATTCGGAAACTATGGACGGATAAATTCATTTAGTATTGTTTGTTCCCATCGATGTGTTAGGACTGCAACTCGTCAGTCTCTAATTGGCATATGTGCATACTGTGCGTATTGCCTCAAGTGGATAACGCGATGGCGTTTCAAGCGAGAGTTAAAAATATTACTGCGTTCGAGTCCCAGAGTGAACATCAACTCTTAGATGCAGGTACATCCAGCTGGCGAGTCCCAAATAGAACGAAACGCGCGTCAAACTGGATTCCACTGTTAGCCACTATCCATCTCTGCTTACTATGGACGGATATTTGCAGAAGAAACAGTCAAATTGAGACAATTGATTGTTATTTTGCAAATTAACTGTTCACCACATGGTTCTCATATTTTAATGAGATATTCTGTAATATCCTCACTCGTGTTCTTATACACCCTGTATTCTGATAAAAGAGAATTGTAGTAAGAAGTCTTGATCAATGAAGTTCAATCAAATCAAATGAGTATCCTAAATCTAATGAATTCAAAATTATATAACTTATTGGACACTATCCCAATGATTTGAAAGTTTAATAATCACTACAGGCCTAAAAGATCTAGGGTACAATCTGTGAAGGAGACATCTATGCTCAACATCTCTACTATTCATAACAAAACAAATCTCTGTTTTAAATTGATTTTCAGAAGGGGTTTTGTGGAGATTTAGTATTTTCATAGTTGAAAGCTGGATCGTGGATGCGCACTGCCACTGAGGAGTCCCATAATAGAACGAAACGGCCGTCCAGTTCTTCCAGGTGGTCTAGCTTCAATTGACTCACGTTTTCAACTATTAAATTGATTTAATCTCTTTTTTTCCAAATGAATCAACTGAATAGAAAACAAACGAGAATACATCATTATTCCTTGAATAATGTAATGAAGAAGTGTTTTGTTCTGAAGGATACCAAATCTTGATAGAAGAAAAAAACAAATACTCTACTCAATGTATGCAAATACACATACAGCAGAAAGAATGCGATCATTTAGTTAGTTAGTTAGAGAGATAGATAGATATTCATATATCATATAGTGAATAGTAAGAAATGTCTTATATTATCATTCTATCTGTAAGTCACATGCTTCCATCTATGACGTTTGTTACTGTCGTACGAATGTGTATATGTGTATGTGAGTGAGTAGGTAGGTGTTTGTTTCTACAATGAGAACACAAGAACAACAACAACCACATCGAGATAAAAGTTATTACTAGATACAATAAACTGTAATATTTGGCATTCATACACACACACACACCTATTCATATACAATAGTACAAAACTTATAAATTTTCTTTCTTTTTTTTTAAGAAACAAAAATTTTTTTATGAAACAACTCTTTGGTACTTTGGTTACTTCTAGTTTGTCGTCGACATTATAAATCTCTTATTAGAAATGTGTTAATTCACTTGAGAAAGTGTTAAGGCTTACAATATTGTATAAGCGAAATATACGTAATTATATATGGTTACAATGGTTTCTTCTATACAATTCGTTTTTTGGTTTTTTTTTTCTTCTTCTTCTTCTTCTCTCTGGAGTTTATCTGGTTGAATATGTGTATTGGATCTATTGTTTAACAGTAATGTATGTGACAATAATAATAACAAGATGTTTTCTATGTCGCATTAATACTCTCCTTTCATTCTATAAACATTTACTTAAAACTATTTAGTTAGTTGAAATCATTAGTCAATTGAAGCTAGATCACCATGGTAAATCTAGAAGCACTGGATGTCCGTTTCGTCCTATTTTGTGAATCCTCAGTGGTAGTGCACATCCACGATCACACCTAGAGAGATTGTTTGTCAGTTTATCGATTAAGTGCTCTGGCGCGAGACTGGTAGGTGTTGACTTCGAATCTCGCTCGCGAGGCGGGATCGTGGATGCCCACTGTCACTGAGGTGTCCCATAATAGGATGAAACAGCCTTCTAGTGCTTCCAGGTCTATCTTCAATTGACTAATGATTTCAACTATGAAAATACTGAAATCTTCACAAAACCCATTCTGATATTTAGTTAGATTATCCTTTTATAAAGAAACAATTTGTAAATATTTGAAAAATTCCCATATTGTGATTTAGAACAACATATATAAGCGAACAATATTGTTTTCGATTAGATCCTCATCAGGCTTTACTCTAATATACAGTAATATTTATATGCATATATGAAATTATTAAACCAATCAAGGCAGTCAATGATAATAGTGGAATAGATTACATAATCAATTACATAATAAGTAGAATGTACAAATTGATAGTATAATGACAAGTGTACTAGTTGTGATAAGAATAATAAAAGGCTTGAATCAATGTTACATAATAGGAAAATAGGTCAATGATTAGAATAAAGAATATAGACACTGAAATAACATTCATAAGATTACGTAATAAGAAGTGTTTAGATAATTGGAAGCAAATATTAGAAAAATTATAAGTAAATAATTGATAGGGGGGTGAAGAAAAATAAACGAATATAGCCTGATGAGGATCTAATCGAAAACAATATTGTTCGCTTATATATGGTGTTCTAAATTTGTAAGTAGTTTTGTGTAGTTGAAATCATGAATCAGTTGAAGCTGGACCACCATGGAAAAACCTGAAAGCACTGGACGGTAGTTTCGTTCTATTGTAGGAATACTCAGTGACAGTGAGCATCCATGATCCCGCCTCGTGAGATTCAAACCTAGGACCTATCAGTCTCGCGCGCTGGGGAGTTCCACAATTGGACGAAACGGCCGTCCAGTGCTTCTAGGTTTTCCATGGTGGTCTAGCTTCAATGTAAATTTTGGTAAAAATCTCCACAAAACCCACCTTTTACTATGTAAGTAGTATTTGTAGTGGAGTATATTCAGTTGGAACACTATTGAAGTCTAGAGAGCAGTGAACAGTTATTTTGCATTCATCTAATACCTAGTATTGCTCAATTATAACTAGGTTGGAAATAGAACCTAAGAATTTTAAATCATGCAATGATCCCTTAACTATTTGATTTAAGATTAAATAGGATATATTTCTATATTTAATTAATTAATGACAACTATTCAATGCTAAAAGTTATGACTTTCAATCTAGACAAGTTTAAAGGTTATGACTTCTTACTATGACTTCCGCAAAATTGTTTCCAAATGATTTACTAGCAAGTACATGACTATAGTATTGGTGGATGAGTTTTGCAGATATTTGTTCATGGGTAGTATTCACAAGAGGTAGAATTAAAATACTTAGGTTCGAGTCCTGACCTGATTGTGAATGTGTTTAGCTGTTTCCCATATCAAGGTGAACTGAATATCTAGTACTCCATGGTTATGACTGATGTCGCATTTAATGCCAATCTCTTTCCAATACTATTTATAAATCGTATATTTATTAAGATGGCAAACTGTACCCCGAAAATATTCGACTACACTAGTCCGAAATAAATATTACTAAAATTAAGGAGACGACTGATGAAGAGTAGTGTATATATAGAAGTGTAGAATTATGTAGAATTCATTAGAAAAGATTCTACTGTTACAGTAATATATTTTTTCACCCAACATGTATACAGTCCGAATGATACATTGAAGGAAACACCCAACTGTGTCACTAAGCAAACCCTCACTTGCAATCCTCAAGTATAAAGGATAGGAGGTAGACCAAAGAACAGATTAGGCCGAGAAATGGAGACAGATATGAGGAGAATGAACAAGAATTAGAGTAGAACTAGAAAGGAAGGCCCAGGACAGAGTAGGTTTGAGAATGCTGGTAGGCGGCCTATGCTCCTCGAAGAGTAATAACAGTGTAAGTAAGTATGTATACTGTTAGATTCAGTAAACAATATTGTCTTCTACATGGACTTTTTACCACTGAAAATTAAATTAGCAAATAAAAACGATAGTAAAAGTAGAGTGTAGGGACAAAATGACGAATTCTTACAAGCTATTAGTCAATGAAATCAAACAGCTCTTGTAAATAAAAATTATTATGGAAACTAATCACAAGCCCTATTACTGTTATTATTAATGTCTTCATTCAA